AAAACAACTTGTCGACAAGAAAATTCTTCACAAAATTACTTTACCATTTCATTTGATTCAAGTAGGCTCTGGTTTTTCTGTGAGCAGAATGTGTGAATTTTTTAATGACAAAAACTGTTATTTTCTAATTTAAGAGTTGAATTTGGAAATTTATAATGATTCCATCGTATGTCTCATAAAATTTTAGTATAATGTGGTTTTTGATTTTGTACCTTGTCTAGTAGCCCATTCAATAGTTTCTCTTCAGGCAGACTTTTTGAGTCCTTTTAACCTCTTTTTATCCTTTGGGGCGTGAAGATATGAAAAAAATGGTAACACAAAAATCAATATTTTTCAACAGTGGCCCATTGCTGACACTATATGACTAAACTTCTCTCATAGTTGCTTTAAATTCTTGTCCTTATGATTTTTTCAGATCAAGAGACAGGGATTACTATATGAATGATGACGATTTATTGCAAGACACTGTCAATGAAGAATCATCATTTCGAAGGAAAATCTCCAGTGAATTTTCACCATTAGCCATGTCTCAGCAATCAGATTATTGGTCTAACTTCATGGAGCTATTTGGTGATGGTAGCAGAAAAGGAAGCACCTCCAATCTTCAGCCTTATGGTATTTTTAATCTTCAAATTGTTAATAGGGTGTCTATAAGTCCGTAATTTCCAGAAAGTCCGGAAATAGTACTGATTTTTTAAGGGCGGTCTAGAAGTACTGAAAAAGTGCGGAAATTCTGCAAGGAGGTCCGGAATTTGTTTCATTTTTTGTCATTTTTGTCGCAATTTGAGCGAAATATTCAAATATTTGAAATTTTTTAGAATCTCTTCAAATGGAGGTACTGAAAAAGTACTGAATTTTTCTGTTGAGGAGGTACTGAAAAATTACTGTAAAAGTACTGATTTTTGGACAGCCTGTTTTAGTAGATACCATGGTTAATTTGAACTGTTGTCTTTCTGAGGTATCCGCTTAGAATTGTCTCTCATAATTAATGAATGAATGAATTGACGTTTGTATAAAGGCAGAACCAGAGCTATGTTATCAGAACATCATACTGTTTGCGCACTGACCAGTGGTTTTTCATGCGAAATTGGCCAAATAAAATTTATTCCTTTCATGGCAAAGTTCTGACAAGCAATCGTACTCTTTAAGGAACTACAACTCATGCTGTTAAGAAACACTTTGTGCACCACCTCATTAAGCAGGATGTGATGCTGAATATTTTAAAGAATTGACAATTTGTTGATATTTCCACAAAGTTCATATTATTTGAACCTTTCTTTTAGTCTCGATAGTTTCAATTTTCAGTTTGAGACCAGACGAGTTTGCCATTGGAGATTGTTCATAAATGCTTTGTTCTTTTTCAGAGGAATCCTCCCTATCCAACTCTCAACAAAATCTCATTCAAGAAAAATTGTATCCAAAAGTGCTGCGTGATCCCAAAATCCCAGTGGCTTTAGAAATTGTCATGACAACCTGCTCTAGGTGTCACCATTGCGCTTCAGTATTATACGATGAAGAAATCATGGCTGGATGGGTCTCAGAAGATTCAAATTTGAATTCCAAGTAAGAATCTGTCTCCCCTTACTCAATTCTCCCTTGTGCACAGAAAATAAATAATTGAGTCACTGATGCTAGAGCAAGGAGGAATGTTGTAAGATTTTTTTTCATTTAACGTCCCTAAGTATCAAAACAGGGTAGTTGCAAAACTTGTCTTAAGTCAAGTGAGGGCAAAATATCAGTTTGAAGTTTGCTCTTTTGAGAAGAGGATATGTATAATTCCAAGCTGCCATTTGCAGTGCACAAAATCACTAGATTTTCATGGAACTTTATTTCCGCCTTTGGCTCAAAAATTATTTAAACTGCTCGCAACTTATTCTTCAGGAAACTGGAAAGTTTCCTGTTAAAAACTGAAAATCTAATGTTTTCGCCAATTCAATCGCCCTACTGGAAATTTTGTCACCTTGAATTAAAGTTCTCAATCCTTTGGACGGTCATATGATCAGAAAAGGGAGAAAAATGTGTGATTTTGCAGACTCGACTCATGCTAAACTATCAGTCTTTTAATGGTTTGATTTTTATTATTTTATAGGTGTCAGTTTTGTGACAAGTGGACTGTTCCCTTCTTGACCCTCACAATCAATGATCATAGGGGCAAGAAAAAAATGGTTGCTCCTGTTTCCAGTCTACTCAGTTTAACAGCATCTGATAAACGCTCTTCTTTAAAGCGGGATAGTACAACCACCATGCCTGAGTCTATCAGTAAGTTTTGGGCCTGAATCTATCTTCTCTTAACTTCTCGCCACTTTCTTCTCTGCATGCAGAAATGTGACGTGTCTCCTTTCCAATATTTCATGAGACTAGTTGGTTGAAATTAAATAATTTGCAGTGGTTAGCTGCAAAATTGTTTGATTTTAATCGAATTTACTTTACTCTAAGAACTATTCCAAGTTACAAAATTTTTGTCTCTTAAATGGACCTTTCTCGATTTACATCCATCCAAAGGTTGATGTTTAAACGTAACAAGTTCATCTCTTAGGGATCCCTTTGCTCCATAAGATTGCTTAAATTTTAGGGCTTATCGGATAATTGACTTGTTCATTTTTACTAGGGATTGACTCAACTATCTTCATATCTTTTTATCACAAATTATTTTTCCAGTCCTCTCTTGGACAGCTCCATCTTAAGTACAAGAGTTATTCAGAAAGTGAGAATTGATTTGCTTTTTCTCTGTACCTACTAGTTGTGGAACAAAGTGACTGTGAAACTCTCAAACCAAGTATTCCAATTTGCAACGTCACAGAATTCCTGTCATGCTTCATTTTTTAAATGGAAAACTGCTGAGCGTCAATTCTTTAAAGCTTCCATAATATTTTTTCTCTGTCAGAAGAAAATTCTGTGATAACGTCAAGGAATAATGTAAATTTGTTCATCGTCAAAAAAATAAAGAGGGAGCAGAGATTTTTAAACACCGCAAACGAGATACAGGGTTTGGGAGTTTCACTGTCGGAATCCACTCGTGTCATTAAAGTATCATCCAAGTATACTCCTCAACCTCCTAAAAAAGCAATAGACGTTCGTAAACTCCGAAGGATTCTTTTTTTCCTCCTCCCACTTTGATTCAAAAAGAGAAAAATTCCAATGTATCTACACCTTGGCCAAAATTAGACTGCAGTCTTGTTCAGAAACTTCAGAAGAAAAGTGCCATTCCTCTAAATGTGTTTTCTGGAATTTCAATGCAATTGACCTGACACCTAAGCTAACATTTTGCCAAAGATCACGTTTCATTACTTGGAAATGTATTTTATCCAAGTATGTACATCCAAACCTTTTAAAAGGCTCCTCCACTATTTTCTCAATTCATTGTTCAATAACTGAAGGTTTTTTTTTTTGTTACCTTATAGATACAAGCGTAGCCTCTTTGAATTCTGATGTAGATGAAGAAATCACATTGCCAATCAGCTCAGAGCCTATTTCTGTACCCTACCTGAACCCCATTGTTCTGAGGAAAGAACTGGAGTCTATTTTGTACGCGGAAGGGGACGTTTGTATGACCAAGCCTAAATTCGTTGATGAACATCCTATTATTTATTGGAACATGGTAATGCTCATGTACTAAATAAAACGCAGAAGTTAATGGACAAAAATTGAAGTTTTTTAGCTTTCACAAGATTCCTGTGACACTACTGCCGTAATGTCTTTTGCTTTCTTAAGTATTTGAAAACCTAGCTTCTTTGCTCGAGGGAAAGTTTCAAGTCTAAAAATTTTAGTTTTTCGTAACCTCTGCTCATTTTTGCTAACTTTTGAGACCAGGATGTAGCTTAACCTCTAACACAAAATTGTTAAAACCCCCATTGTTACAGTCCACATTACAAGAACGTCATCTGTAACCCTTCAGTACATCATGACGTTTTTTTTTAAATCATTAAGATTCGACTTTTATCATCATAAATATCTGTAAATCCGAGGAGTAAACAAGTCTCAATGTGTAAGCCATCCCACCGTAAGAGGTGATGATGCTTTTCCCCATAATTTTAATAAATTTGATTGTAACTAAAAACTAATCATTATAAAAGAAAAAAGAAAGAAAAAGAAACTTGTAACTTGTGATTAACAAACAGGTCGATCATCGTAAAGTTCGATATCCTCTTGTCTAGCATTGATGCCTGACACCACCCTATGACCAATTCTGACCAATTTCTGTTGCTGAGGTCTGTTGCCGTCACCACTGATCAGGCATTCACACCATTCACAGTCATCATGAAAATAATTTTAATTGTTTTGACTGTGCCCTGCAGATGATTAACAGGTTTTAATGATTTATTTTTCCCTCAGATATGGATTTTTGAAAGAATTGCCGTCCCTTCACACCTACCGGCGCTTTGTTTAAATGCTGAGTGCGTCCTCCGAAATCGAGAGTCCTCTGCTTTTCACGAATCATGGAATGCTTGCGATCAAAACAACGTTCTGATTCGAACAATGTGGGACAATACGAGGCTTCATGATGAGGTATATTTCGTTAATATAATTTAAGAAACTGCAGAAAACTTAAATCAATAAAACGTTTTTCAAGAGGAGGATATTTTCAGAAACTAGAATTAATAGACCGTATTCGATAACGGTTCGATGTATCGTTTGGTTCAAAGCGGTAGAACATAACCTCAAACCAAACTGTAAGGATTCGAGTTGGAAAAGCTGAAAATGAGAAATTGCCTTACAATTTCACTTTGCATTGGCATTTGGTACTCAAAAGAATAAAAAATCTGTTACAAAAGACCTATTCTCTCAGATTTCTGAATTTACTTTTGAGGCTATGTTTATGTTTTGAATCAATCGATATCGATACAATCTCACCCGTTTGATGTATCGAATATGATCTATTTTATATTTCACTGTGCAGGAAAGTAAAATTATATGATTAATCGTAAAATCAGGTTTTTTTTTTGTTGCAGTGACTTTTACAGGTCTCTTTTTTGTAGTCACCTTCTGTATTCTTTAAAAATGTGTAATACAGGAAAAATATGTGAAAAAAGGTTGCACTGGAACATTTATGAAAAATTGTTGTTCATGGAAAAAGAAGGATTTTGTTGATTTGACGATTTTTATCCCATTAATATTCTGTTAACAATAAAAAAATACCCGTAAAGATACAGTGAATTCAAGAATCAAAGGTTTTGACATGCTGTTTCAATTTTGATCTCTTCTTGGATTATAGGTTGGTCTTCCTATGTATGTTCTGTGGAATCAAAATGACGAGCAGAGTTCACTAGTGAGCGCTTTGGTGACAGATAGGACTACTATTCCTCGCAGGTAACATTTTTTATTCATCAAGCGTTTGGTGTCATAAAAATGAAGAATTAGGCCCTGTCCACACAAGCGTGGTTCGAGGAACTTATTCGACGAACTGCTCAGTTCCCGGAACTTATTTCTTGAAACGAGGCATGCTGTCCACACGAGTTCGCCCGAACTGGAACCGGAACTTCAATAAAACTATACAATTATCGCAAAATAATAGATTATTACGGCCGCCAAAGTAACAAAAATAAATGTCAAGACATGTAAATAAAGGACGTAAAAAACAAAAACAAACAAATTCACATCAAAAGAAACATTTATAGAAGCTCAGAGTACAGGGGAAGTTCTGGGTTTTGGAGGAATAAGTTTTTAGCTCAGCTCAAACTTTTTCCGGGAACAAGTTCCTCGGAATAAGTTCTGCGAACCGCGCTCGTGTGGACAAGGCCTTAATTATTGTCTTTCATAGTTATAGAAGTTTCTAGTTACATTTATTTGAAGGTAAATCCAAAGCTGTAGGCTGAAGCAGGCTTTACTCTTCTTTGCATAAGCATTTTAATGAAAAATACAGCAGATGATTGTGCTCTGGAAAAAAAAAATATATGAGTACATATTAGGACTGAAAAACTATAATTTGAAACATGGCTCCGCAGTCTCAAGAAATGGTTTTACTTTCAGAAGGTATCTTATTCTGATGGCAGGAGACATATCTCATTGTAGCTCAATATTACACCAGAAAATTCAACAAAGAAAAAGAATCAATCACACTATGGAAAGTCTGCAAATCAACTCCTGAACACGATATAAGTGGACGGCGCAAGTCCGCAATCACATACCTCGTTTGCGGTGTCTGAAAATCTCCGCCTCTATGTTATTTTTTTAAAGGAGAATAAATTGACAACATTCCTTGAAGTTTTTGTAGAATTTGCTTCGGACAGAGAAGAAAGATCACGGCAGCTTTAAAGAATTGTCATTGAGTAGTTTTCCGTTTAAAAAATAAAGTATGACAAGGAGTCTGCAACGTCGGAAACCGAGTTATTGGATGGCAGACTTACACCATCGAAAAGTTTACAATTAATATTGGTAAAATTACAAGATTACAAATGACATCATTTGTATAATCCAAATTAAATTTGATCGATGTTAATTTATGTACTTGTTTATACTCAGTTCAGGAATTGATTTCTGCACATCCTGTTGTGTGAATCATTTCCTGCGGATTTTGAAGAGAAAATGCCATGGTTTTTTTTTTTTTAGTTTAAACCTTGTCTTGTGATCCATTCAGCTTCACTGAAAAATTATCGAGAGTTATCATTAGGGTTCGGCAAACATTTGAACATCTAGAATATTCAAGTTTGAACAAGTCTATAAATAGTATGATCTATCATACTATCTTTCAAACAACTCAGAAACAATTTTAAAACTTTTTATACTGTTTCCAAAACGTCGAATAAGATGACATGGAAATTTCTTCCACACATACCGAAAACGTTCTGATAACTCTACTTATCCTCAAAATGTTTGTTTGTGAAAGTTTTTAGAATTATCAAAGTATTTCAATGACACATTTTTAAAACTTTTCTAAAATGCGGTGTCCCATCAAGGTATCATGTAAAAGACAAGCCGTGAATAAAAGAATAAAACAATGTGATCAAAGAAATATGCTATATGACTCTTAATCAAGTCTTGTATTTGTGCAATTTTTCAGTGTTATGCAGGCTGTGATAACATCTGTTCAGTTGAACAATGATTTAGTAGAACCCCTGAAGCGTCTTGCTGTGGAGCGGCATAAGATCAGAGGGCGAGGTGTGAACAGAAGTCATTCACTTTATCGAGAAATTTTGTTCCTGACCTGCGTAGTGTGTCAAAGAGAAAATATTGATCAGAGTAAGTACCCGCTTTCATCCTATTAGGACAATTTTTGGTTTTCTATTTTTTTCCTTTTTTTTCTTTTTCATTGTTAGATCATCTGAGACTTACAATTAATTTGGTTTTTAACAACTGAAAAATAGGAAAAAAAAACAGAAATTATATCTACAACATGGTAAATTCGAAGTTGCACAAGAAAATTTCAAAATAAACATAGTTCAGTTAGTATGCATAACTGATCATACTGGTAGCTTAATTTACCGCATTTGTCGAGAACTGCCAAAAAATCTGAAAGTTGTTTTCAGAGCAATAATTCAATAAATTGAGAATTGACAATACTTATTTATTCATATTTCTAAGTGCATTCTTTTCAAAAACGAATTAAAATACCTGTAAAAGCCTCACTGTGATGAAGGTTGCATAGCTGTTATTCAAGGAAGCTCATATTTATTTGTTTGCAGGTGTGTTTGATCGGGAGTATGAATTGGCCTTCAGAAAATTACTTGAACAGGATTCAAAAAAATATTTACGTTGTGATCAACCAATCTCGAAAGCAGCTGTTAAATGTAGACTGTATTTCAAGGAACTGGAGCTCTGACACAAGTTCAACCACAAGCAAAGGTATCGTAGTCACCGCTGTATTTAATGCAAATTCTCAAACTTCAGCCTTTGCTGCTCTTTTTATAGCTGAAAAAATTTCTACTGCCCGAGTGACACCCTTCGTTTCAGTCTGTGTCAAATGAGTTTATGCTTTTTAGGTGTACAAGAGAAAATCTGGTATTTTCATTTTAGCGGTAAAAGTAAATGGAAGAATTCAGATGGTAGATCTTGCGTGTCAAGACACGTAAGACCTCGATTTATTGGATTTCACTGGACTGATGAATCAACGTTCATTCGAAAAGCTTGAAATCCTTGAAGAGACCTTGTCAATCAACCTATCAATCTATCAATCGGCAGATTGATAAATCGAGGTCACCCTGTAAACTAATTTGGCAAGGTCGTCCGATTGAAAATTCTGGAATAGTTGTCTATAATTATGTACCATCCTGATTTATGAAAACAATGGTAGCCTCTTTAGATTTCTGAGCAAAATTGTATGTTTTTACTCATAATTTAAGCCTTTTTTTCTCTTTTTCCATTTCAGCTTTTTGGACAGAGGGAGGAAGCCTAGCTCCCTGAACAGGTAGCTTTGAAGTTGAATTCTGAGAGCAGCTGTTTTAATTCATTAAATTGAGGTTTTTTTCTCTCTTTCCTTTCCTTTTCTTTTTTTTTTGAAAAGTCTTTGCTCATTTATTGCTTTAATTCATCATATTGTTTGTATTCGCAAAGAGATGGAATGTGTGAAATGTCTTAAAGGGTCCACAGTTGCTCATCTCTCCACAGTCCCGTCCAATCAACATTACTTTTAATTTTAAAAAAAAGCTTTTGCTTAGTTGATCATAGTCTTTCAAAATTGTGTAAATATTCTAGTGTTGATACTATGAGAAAACACTTTCAGTCTAAACTCAGTTTGATTTTAAATTTTGAAAATTTTAAAAGTTACCAGTTGGGAAAACAAAAACAAAAGGAAAATTTTGTCTCCAGTCGCCCTTTGAATGACTGATAGTTTCAATGGATTCTGGAATAATTTTTATTTACTTTTGGCCGTTTCTCATAAGTAATGTTATTGAGCCCCTCTTTAAGATTGAACTCCTTTTTTGAAAGTTGACTTAAAGTTTTCAATAATGAGAGCTCGTTTTTTATTTGTTCTTGCTTTGCTTCTTTCTTCGAACTATCTTAGTCCAGTATTAGCAAGACCCTAATTTTTTCCCGAAGGAGACCTAGTAGTGACATGATAGACATCTCAAGCCAATTATGTCTACTACTGAACTAATTTATCACAGCCCTATGGTTATTTTGTCTTAACCCAACTTTACAAGGAAATCTTGTCTGTGTTATTGAATGAAGGGAGGATAATTTTTGGTTAATTGACTGTTATGTGGCCTTGACTGCTGATTGATTTCTCACAAGAATATTTTGCCTTACTCAGTCCTGATCGAAAATTTGTCATGTACCTCTATAGATTTTTTAGGGTTTTCATTTCATTTTATTTTATTTTGAAGAATCAGAATTTCGATACCTACCTCAAAAATCAGAGAAATGGTCACTGAAATCAAATTAATCATAAAAGTGTAACCATTTCTCTCTGACGCTTGGGGACATTGATGACCTCCTATTTTGTGATCCTAACAATGTCAAAGATATTGTTGTAGTTCATTACTGGGCCTTTGATTGTTGCCACAACTTTATTGAGAAGGGGAACATCTAAAACTGAAACATTCAAACGAGTTTGTTTTTTCTTTCTTTCTTTCTTTCTTTTTTTTTTTTTTTTTTTTTTTTTTTTTTTTTGTAGACTCAAGATATATCTGTACGTTTTTTTGTTTTTTATCTTGAATGGGCCATAGCAACAAGGTAAAAAATCGAGTTTTCAATCGCCAATGCTGTCTTGACACATGACTTTTGTAGGACAAGGGGTTTGTACCATTTTGACCTTCCTTGCTCCTGTCTCTGCTTCCATATTTTACAACAAGTGTGTTGGTCTGGTCCAAAAGAGGTCCCGGTGCAATTTTCTTTTCGTTATCCATGAACAAAAATATGCCTAATCTGTAGCGATTTTTGTCAGTCCCTTAACATTGAAATTCGTCCATTTCAATGTAGTGTAAGAATTAATATTTATTAAGGCAGGTTGTCTAACTGAAGTCGGTGAATTATAATAGATTTAAATTAAGGAATAATAGTGTCATCAATTTGTGATAATCACCTTTGTGCCCAATGAATTTCTGGAAAGGGTAAAAAAAAAATCAATTGGAAGGGAACGTTTTGGATGTTCCTCTCATGTAACTATGAACTAAATTACAAAGAAAGATCTGGCCTTTTGCAGTTTTTCGGTGGCTTATTTTCCTTATTGTAGTTATCATATACTTCATGTTTTATTTAGTTTTTCATTTTAATTACTACTTGTTTAATCACCCATTATTCATTTTACCTTTTATGTTTTATCTGTTTTCACCATTGCAGTTCTGTGATTTTAGATTTTTAAAAATCAGTAATTTTAACCCTAATTTTCTGTTTATCAAGTAGTGATGGTCTGTGAAGCAGGAGTAATTTCCGTTGAGAGAAGGTTTAAGTCAGAAGATAGGAAAATTCAGTTTCTAATGCAAATTGCCCTCTTATATCAATGGAAAGAGGGTAGGTGCTGTTTCAATTAAGAATTTCTCAAAACTTAATTCTAGACGCTCTTTTCTGACAGCCACCAGGATTTCGAAAGGGAATGTTTCTCCTGATCAGTTGCATTTCTTTTTAAGTAAAATAGATCATCTCAGCTCTCTGATTTTAATACATAGAAAATCAGTGTTCTAGATTTAGGGGTTGTGTTTGTGCCAAAATTTTAGTATTTTCCTTCTCCATGAAATGGTATCAGGATGTAAATCACTTTCTAAGTTCTCCTTTTCACAGATGCCATCACTTACACGAAGGTTAACTTTGCCGTGCTAAGGAAGAACGTCATATGAACATTCGAGAGATGCCTTTCCTTTGATAAAATGCTCATACGGCGTTTTTCCTTAGCGCGGCAGAACTGGGCTCTAATTCGTTTAAATCATCTCCTAACATGATCCATCAAGAAGTGCACGACCTGACCATAGCTACTCAGAATAAACTTGAAGTAATTATCAAATCGTCAAGAAAATCAGTACTAGTTTTGAAATTTTAGTAAACTCTGCTTTAAGGTCAAATGCTGTATGAACATCAGGATGTTGCCAAATTTTCTTCGATCAAACTCTAATTTTCAAGAAAACTTGTGGATATTTTCTGACCAGTTTTTCAGAAAATTTTCCTCGCAATTCGATTTAAAGTATCTCAAATTTCAAGGAGCATTTTTTATAAATTAATATTTTACCAGAGGAAATTCGGCAACGCCCAAATTTTCATACACCATTTTTCCTCAGTACGGCAGAATAATAATGCCGAGGTCAGACCTTACCGTTAATCTCTTTTTGCAAAATGACGTGAAGTTCCAGTGAGCGATTTCAAGGCAACAGGAATAGTTGCGCTGTGCAACATTTTGAAAATGAAAGAGCATCAATTCCAACTAAATTTTACTAACTCATTCAAAACGCTTTGAACTTAATTTTCATTGGCTTCAGCATGAAAAATTATGATTTCGTGCCAAAACTCCATCATCTTGTCGATAAATGTAGTCACACATCTGTCCAATGAATTTTCTCACTGAAAAATAGAATTTTAATTTTAGTCTGGCTAGATTTTTAGCATTAAGAACCCTTCAATGAAAATATTCCTGTCATCATCACCAAAACACCGAAAATTACTATTTCGCTTGGATTTTGATTTGGCAACATGTATCTAAATAGAAATTTTCAGTACTTAAAGTCTCACAAATTGTTAAACAAGGATAATTTTTCATGCTTTTTTTGTAAGAAGGAACGCAGGGAAACCACTCTGTTTGATTTATCACCTCAGTTTCCTGTTTTTTTGTTTTTTTTTCTGAAGTAGCTTTTAACCGTTGGCAATACAATTATTTCTGTTACCTTGAAGCTGCCCAAATGATTGCAGTTGAAAAGTATCTAAAAGAAATTATTTCACAGTTTCATTTTTTAAAATGAATGAATTATTTTATCGAGTAAGCTCAAGATAAATGAATGAACTTACTATGTTATTTGCTTTAGCAAAACGTAAAAATTTAATCCTCTTGTCAATATGTCCCCAACATGGCTGTTATCTCAGACCATTAATTACATTAGAGGAGAATTACGCAGAAAATTGGGCTGTGGCAAAGAATTAAGTTGTTCATCACAAAAATCTGGAAGATAGTCATTTCAGGACAGATCAGAGGCATGTTAGAATCAGAATTTTAGCAGCATCCATTCCCAAGATCACAATCTCAATTTTTATGAATTGAAATTTTGAAACAATCGAGTTGTGTCCTATCGGTGCTAAACAAATGCTACTGTCAATCCATACTCTTAGAGCGGTGCAGGCTAGACCGACCAATGGAGTTTAAATATTTTTATTTCTTTATTTTTACTCTTTAGAGGAACAGGAACCTCTAGTCTATAACCCCTTTCAAAATGGACCTTATCAGCCTTGAGAGTGTATCATCGGTGTAGTATTTCCCCTCACTTTGACCATCTAGAAGGTCAAAAATATTTAAATCCAGTTATTTATCCTCAAAGTCTGGAGTAAATAATAACCTTACGACTTTTTAAATATTGTGCTACTTCCACGGCTTCTCGCAAATCTAAATGTTTACAGGCCAAGTCAACAATCTCTTTTTAGATTTTTAGCAAAAATTCTTTTCAGTATGTTTTTAACTTCAGAGGCACATTTGTTTTAATGCATGCTTTTGGTTCCCCTGGATGAGAAAGGATGGTCTTCATGTATTTGTATTATTAAAGTTTCAATTTTTTTAAAATTCTGGCCTAAAGAAACTTTGATCAACTCAATCGTTGTCTCACTTTGCATTATGTAGATCTCCAAATGGCCATAAAATAAAATCGTTGTTTGACGAAAACATTTTCTTTTGTCGTAGGCTTGTTTACCTCTGTGATCTAACAGTCAATATGGATATTAGGAGCTGAATAGCTCTAATTATTTGCATCAAGTTTCATTACATGATAAACTGTATTTCATCGGTGCATTCAGTTGGTGAATCAATTTATCATTTGTAAATCCTTTGTCTTTCATACAGTTTTTCTTTATAGTTTCATCCGAGTGAAGAATCATATCTGGAGTGAGTTTTGTTCTTAGTTTCATCTGTTTTTAAATTTAGAATGCTTGCTAATACATTTAGTCAAATTGTTTGTTATTTTATTCTCATCTTAAAATTTTTAATTCCTTGAATTGTCTTGAAATGAAAAGAAATGTTAAGACTTGCACATGATTTCTTTAAGAACCTTTGAGGAATGGTGTTTCTATCCCATGAATAATTTATGGAGTAAATTTTTTTATTTAATTTTATTTTTTTTAAAAGCTGGACCAGCAGTGTCTATCAATTTTATGAAAACTAAAAGTTTGTAAGTAAATGTTGTTATTGGTTTCATCCCTCAGAAAGTATCCTTAAATTGCGGAACACATTGCATAGGCTCTGTTATTTGGATGCATTGGTCGAATGCCACCAAAGGACGCAAGTGATCAATCTTAACTTTCTGCATCTCAGTAAAGCAGCGAAAAAAATATTCATGCTGTTTCAAAAAGAGTGAAAGGGTTCATCAAATGTCAATTGGGGTCGGGTCTGGTATTGCTGTACCTGCAAGGAAGAATGAAAGGTAATGTAAAAATACGAAGGTGTGTTAGGTTATTCAAGGATACTTTCGGCCTGTATTAAGATTTATTTTTTAGAGAAAATATTGAGTATTGTAAATCTGATTGTAAAAAAGAAAATACGAAATAAAAAATATCTATATTTTGTATTTTTGCTTCTCCTTTCATAGCCTGCTTATCTTCTTCTCTTTGTTTTTATAAGCAGGCGTTTGCATCAAATTCTGGCAAAAAAACTTTAATTCTGAGGACAAAATTCAATACCAGTCTCATAATTTTACCTACGCACTATATTTGTTCCTCTTAAGTGTTTTCTTTATCCAGATATTTTGCTGCACTTATAATCGAAAATTTCCAAATGTAAAAGCAGCCTCCAAGAAGATGCAAGAGGTTCTTTGAATTGTTTCTGCTTTCTAGTTTTTACTTGAATTCAATACTTATTTATGGAAAATAATGTCAAAGAGGTCTAATTTGAAATTCAGTTTAAAAGTTTTTACGGGTGCAAATGATTACATTGAGGATAGATTTGCACCTAATTTTAGAAGAACTTCTTTGACACTCCACGAAACACTGATTTTTTCTAAGCAGATTACACATATTTCTTATTTCGATCTCATATTCCCAGATGCTAGAGTTAAAAGAGAAACCCCTAAACATAATTGAAAATGTTTGAATATCGCGAAGAAAAACAATAGGGAAATTGAAGCTATGAGGACTGAGTGATCAAAAGAACCAAAAATTACTCCTTATAGCTACTGATTTATTCACTTCTCATCTCACAATTATCACAAATGTAAATTCAGTGGTGAAAGAAGAAAATTGAAAGACACAAAATAAATGCACAATTCTATCGAAGAAAAAGAGAAATGATTAGAGACTTATCCTTACACATTAGACAAAGAGAATGTATAAGGTAAAAGACTGTCACGCTTATTTTACAATTGTAAAAAACAAGAACAAATGTTAGTCTGAAACAATAGACTATTTCAGTATAAATGAGAGACAAAGATAATAAAAGAAAAAATATATACATACAAAAAATGGTCAAGGGAAATAGAGAGCAAACTTTCCTCTCTTTTTTTTCTTTAATAAAGAGAGGTATATCTTGAATGCTGTAAAGGTTCATTCAAGAGAAGCATCCACTAATGTCCGATTAAAACTCATATATTTGCTCATGACAAAATGTCACCTTAAGTAGGTGTCTTAAGGGAGAGGTGTTCCGGACCTCTCACAAATAGATTTTTTTGCACCAAAAAATAAAATTATCTTGGCAATGTGTAAGCAGTGAGCTTAGATGTGCATTTTCAATCTTATTTACTCTCAGAATCTTTTCAAATAAAACACTAGTGGTTATTAAAGTTGCTGCAGATTGGCTCGACTGATCATAACCTTTTGAACAAACTCAAAATCTTTGTTACCCTTATTCAGTTCCAACCAGTGTTACTGAAGTTAATACATTGAATTCTTCACATATTGGTAAAAGTGAAAGATTGGCTTCCCAGATACAGTATCAGTTCAGAGTGCCTATACCTATTTGAAATGTTATATCTTTTACATTTTACACAAAGAGATTTCTAGGAAAATAATTGTGATTGTTTTTTAAGGTTTCAAAGATTATTCTTATTATTTCTACCGCCTTCTTTGCACTCCTCTCCTCTTTCTCTCTACCCCTTCCTCTCCCCTTGCAATCACTGCATTTATTGAATGGAGAGGCAATGAAGATCATCAAGCACACTGTTTTACTGTCCTTAGCTGATTGGATAGAGAATTCACAGATTTATCAGAAATACGATACCTACAAGTAACAAAAGGATTGAAAAATTACTATGTTTTACAAATTACCTAGTGGCACATACATAGGAACAAAGAAGAGTAAACTACAACCAGCGCTGAAAAACTTACATAAGTAGGTACTTATCAAGTAAAACCATATTACTAATTAATTAATTTAAGATAAAACGTACGGTTTGTACGATAAAAGGTGAAAATATAGATAAAATTGAGTTGGGTGGGTAGTTTTGTTTAAATTCACTAATAACAAAAATAGCATCTGCATGCATAGGTACTTTCACTGAAAATGATATGGATTTGGTGAGTTAAAACATGAACGATAAGTAGTAAAATGATAGGTTGATAGAAGGCGTAACCTGAATTAATTTTTACTTCCAATTCGCTAATGTCAGAATGACCAACCAACAACTTAGAGGCTCTGTCACATAAATTGTACGGAATAAATTTGATCAATTACAAATTTTAGGAGCTGGTTGAGGTTTTTTATTTGAAACTTAGATGGAAATATTGAGGCCTAAGTGTAAAAATAACTCGTGTTTCACTTAAACAACAGCGCACCTAAAATTTTCAAGAATAGGTTCTGAAAATCTCGACTATCAGAGAATCAAAATGTATCTTTTCCACGCTGCTACCGCAAGACAGATTATGAATTCCAAAACAACATTCATTCTGTTTCATAGAAAAACGCATGACCTCCAACCGATCATTCATAGGTTTAGGTCAGGTGAATTGGGAAATAACTTCAAAATGCAATCATATGAACACCATTTTGTACGCTCGGATGAGAATGATTCGTGTTACAATTTTTGGATCTCCTTCAAACTCCTGATTTCAAGGATGCGAAATCGAGTTGTTAGTTTTTAATACATGAACTGTGTGATGACAACAGAAACCACAAATACAGTAAGTCCCTGATACTTGTGGTTTTTTTTGTGCGATACAGTCAAAGCGAGTCCTTCAGAAGACAATGAAATGACAATTGATGTATTAATCAGACTCTGGTACAGACATGCTGAAAATTGATACATAAGAAAGATTTGCTCAAATTAAAATCGCACATTAAGTATTTACAAAATTAATATATATAACTTTCACAGGTCAATGCATTTTTAAAGATTATTTTAAACTATTAATGATAACAGAGTTATTTCAATAAATTTAAATTGAAAACTTTTTTACAGATAATTTCATTTTATTTATGCTTTTTTACTGAGTTTATTCTATTGCAAACTGATTAAAAGAAAATGGCAGTTTGAAGTGAGTAGGCAAGAAGCTGTAAGTTTAATGGGTTGATGTCGCAAATATGACATTTGCATACAACAAAAATGTTTCAAAGCAAGTGAACCGAACCCACCGTGAAGATTAAAAGAAATCGATAAACCTAATGGGTTTAAGGTTTTGGTTCTGTTTGTTTGAATAGAGAGCTGGTTTTTGAGATTCTAAGAAGCAGAATGTAGAAAAAGGATAAAAAGAGAGATATACGGAATTAAAAAGACAAATAACAGGACCTCTTGGACAAACCAGAGCAAAGAATATTTCAATTAAAAATTCATATTAGAAAATTCATTCCGTTTTGTTCGGTGGTTTACTTGAAGAAATCAACCCACTGCTGAACAGTCAAGTTTCTATGATTACTATTACAGTAATATGCTAACTGCCCAAAGGCAGCAATAAGAAAATACTACCTAAATAAACTTACTAAACAGAAATCATGTTGACTGTCTGATGGTTTTGGCACAATTATTGAAGCAGTACCTATTTTCATAAAAACCAAGGACTGTAAAAAATATACTGCATAGCACTGAGTTAGTCAAATTCCACTTAATCTGGATTGCCATTCATTAGCAATGACAAGGGATAATCTATGACACAATTGAAAAGTTAGTGTCTGAAAGAGGCCAAGTGGCTTACACCTTACAACATAATCCCACCTTTAAACATATTTTAAACTTAGCTTTGCCTTCATTGATATGCATAGTGAGAGGATGGTGAAAAAAACTGCACGTCTGGATTTCTGGAATATCTAATTACAGCCTTCAAATCCCTTTCACATGATGAGAAAATCTGTACAAAATTACTGCTTATTTTCTTAAGATTTGCAGGATGTGCTTTTAAATGGCAAATCAGGGGCTTACAAGGAAAAAGGGGAGAAGAGGAATAAGTGAAAATAAGAGGGATAAATTTCAAATGATAAAAAAATTTTGAGCTAAAACTGCCCAAAATTTCAGTCTGGAGGGAGCTTTCTTCATAAAATTTTCCCCAAACCTTCCTTGTTCTAAGGGTAGGTAATTTCTGTCCATTGAGCAAGTGGGTGCAGTAGAAAATAATTAAATGTTTTGTCCAGAAGAAAGAATAAAAGGTTCTGCAGTAAAATACTTAGGCTTTTTAGGGTAGGGCAAGATTACCCGATTTTCCCAGATTTTCAATGACTTTTCAAGAACTTGTGTGATGTGTTATCTTTTCTCTTCCTATGATCATTGTTCTAAAGCTTCTAACATTATTTTTTGACCTTCTTCATAATTCTGAGTGCCTGCCTAAGCTGCAGACCCTTTTCATTTCTTCAAATAGTCACTATTTTGGGAGGATTTCTGTCAAAAATTTGAACCTGTATGGAGGGGCAGTTATGTTGATATTACAGTTGTAGAAAAGCAACCAAAAACAGACTACCTCAGTGATTCAATCAACCAGGCAGCTAAGTTTAAAAAGTATTAACTCAAAAATAAAAATAAAAAAACTACTGGCTAACTTCAGAGCCTTTCTATCAGAGATGTTGATGTCATTTTGTTTCAGAAGGCGTATTTCCGCAAATGGCTTTGGTCAACTTATTGGACCAGATTGGTTGCGACCCAGAGGAGAAAAATGCTCCGCTAAAGTGAAAAATAAATTTACTGGCTTCATAAATTATGGCCTATGTTTGCATGCATCCAGAGAGAATTTTTGAAGTGCTAGTCATTCCTACCAGAATGAAAACCAAACGTTACAGGCGCACTGTCGCCTGGAGAGAATTTTGTTTTGTTGTACAGGTTGGCAGTAAGTAAAAGAAAAATTAATCAAATCCGCTTGCCGGAATTCGATGTAAGAGACAGATTTTAGTTAGTGGAAGTATGCATGACTGAAATCATGCATGAAATTTGTAGACTCATACAATCCAATAATTTTATGCAATGTACCTCAGACAAGCTGGTTGCATCCAGGTCACTGAAAAGTATGTTCATTACGTACATAAATTGTGCAGTTATCCCTATTAAATCAAGTCTTAAAGTAATCGGCACCATTTCTTGCGGCTAAAGTGTTTCATTCTTTTGCGTTTCTCCTTGCCATACTTTGTCTTCATCTTCCTGATTTCACGAACTAATGTAAAGAATGCATCATCTACACCTATGCAAAGTTTGGCTGATGTTTCAACAAATGGAATGCCCATCTGCTTCGCAGCATCAGCGGCTGCTGCTGTGTTAACAGCTCGTACTGATAAGTCACATTTGTTACCAACAAGAACCATGGGTATCTCCTCGGCATCTTTGACTCTTTTAATTTGTTCTCGATACAAAGAAATATCCTCGTAAGACTTGAGGCTGTTAACTGCAAAAACAAGTAGAAATCCCTCACCAGTTCTCATATACTGGTCTCTCATGGCACTGTATTCTTCCTGACCTGCAGTGTCAAGAATGTCAAGCAAACATGTTTCTCCATCAATTAACACTTGTTTGCGGTATGAGTCCTCAATCGTTGGATCATACTCGTCAACAAAATGATTTTGGATAAGTTGAATGGTCAGGGCACTTTTGCCCACACCTCCTGCACCAACAACAACTAATTTATATTCTGTCATCACTGATACACGGGAGGTAGAACTTAAACTAAAGGAACTGAGTGGAGCTTACGAGCTGTGCTTTGGGCGCTGCATGAGATCTGGATCAGGCAGTTCCTGACAAATGGAAAAATATGATGAATGGAACCGAGTTGAACATGGTTGCAGGTTCGAGTTCGAGCTTTATGGAAGGTACAGACAGAGCTTTTTCAATGAAGTAAGCAGCACACAAATCCTCTAACGCTGAATCCACGGGAAAAGGCCATAAACAATGGATGCCTGATGCTTCTAACCGGAGGATATGTAGCGGTGATACGTTACAAAATTAAACTTTAAAACTTGGGTTGACTCTTGGAAGCTAGAACTTCGCCCCTCTAAGATTCACTGTTTTAAAAAGCCGTACAAAAACGTATAAAATAACAAATGAGTGAGTGAATATTCAGATTAAAGGACTTGAATACGGTGTCAGTCAAGCAGACTGGCAGACACTTTTGATTTGATACTGAGGCAAAGATTACATTCACCTTGATTAGTTGATAACAAGAACGCAGGTACATAATCCTTGACCTAACCTCAAAACCGCAAGTTTTGGTGTTTTGGTTTCTTCCCTTCCCTTTGCCATAGAATAAGGCGTTAGCTTTATTATTCTATGGTCTATGCCTTTGCTCTTTGCTTCGTCTTCTGGACTTCATGTGTTTTTCTTCGGATTTACTCGGATTCTCTGTCTACTTAGCCCTGCTTTACCAGAACGGTGAAAATATGGAGGGATAAGAGTGGTGTTCCTAATATATTTTATCTCCTTTTATCAGTGTAAACCATTCAGACATTACAATGAACTCAGTTTCTGTAAGTATTGCTCACTCATAAAGTCTGACCTGATCCAAATTGAAATCCTTCTCACTTAGGTAATATCTAGCATTTTAGCCGGGATGGTCGAATATTTAGTTAATCGAATATTCGATATTCAAATTATCGGCACCGAGATAATTGCATCACATTCGAATATTCGCTTCCGAAGTATTCGAAATCGCAAATTCGAATAATTGCATTCAAATTCGAAAACTGTCCATCCCTATCATCAATTTCGTTATCAATTAAAACTCCTCCACAACTTCACACGGGAATGATTGACCGTCTTAGTTAAAAGTGTCATTTATCTCTCACAGTTCATAAAAAATCATATATCGAAGCAATAATGGCATCACATTAGAATATTTGCTTCCCAAGTATTTGCAATCGCAAAATTCGAATTCTCAAATAATCGCTACATTCATATTCGAAAAATTTAGTATATTCAAATAATCGCATTTGAATTCAATATTCGTCCATCCCTACAGTTTTGCAACAGCTGTACAGGACACAAGTGATTTAGTATGTGTTGAATACCCATTTTGCTTGCTAAATCCAGCGTTGGATTTTTAACTCATCCCAATATAAATGGCTTTCATCAGCTCCCCCCCCAAGAAGCATATATATCTTTTTTGATTTGGATCAGATGTGATGTATGAAGGCTAAAACTTGATTTAAATATGTCTTGAAGAGGAGTTGCCTCTTTCTAACAGCATTTTTTCATGCTTTGAGACTAAGTACAAAATCTTTCTCAAACCAGGGCTCACATGAATGCACCTACATTTTTCATATCCCAGTTCAACCAGAATTGAACAAGTATTGACACACATCACCTCTGTTCCAGTTTCTTTACTTATTTAGCTAAAGTAATGACACAAATACATAAGGTAACTAAAACAACAGCGCACACCCTTAAGCCAGGCTCGTTCGGGTAGAGTTTATTATTTACTTTTTCCTTTTTGTGAGGCTTAATCCAGACTGTTGTACTTTGGACAAACTTTGGTGAAAATTATCTGACAAACCAGTTTCAACCCAGGTACAACTATTTCGATGAATCAGGATAATTTAAAAAGCCAGTTTCAATAGTTTGACTACATGATTGTACCTTTTTAGAATTAGTCTGTAGTCTTAAGTAGATTGGTAAAAACTTTACCAGAATAATAAGTAATCAAACATTTTCCTGTGATCAACAGAAACAGTTGTTCAGCTTCCTGAACCGGCTTCCACAATGCACAACCCCAGCGACTGTGGCAGGGTTTCTTAGGTTCCACAATGGGTGCCCCTCATTGGCAGAAACTGCCGTGAAAAATGAAACACAAGAACCTGCTTCTAGAGGCTTGACATCAGTGGTAATATTTTACCTGAAATTATTCACACATTCTTCAATCCGAATATTATTTGATCTCATGAACTAAACTCTCTAAAGTTCTCTAACTGTTAAATTAGACTTTCATTTTGCAGGAATTTTTTTTTATCCTAAGAATAGTCAATGCCCTCAGGTGATTCATCAGGTGGGTTGCAATATGAAGCATTGATTAGGCTCAAAACCTTCCAAAAATTTGACTTATAAAGCAAAGAAACCGCTATGGTATTTCCTGGGCATTACGTAATTTAAAAAATTTCAGCATTGAAAAAATTTGCAAAATTCAATTAAATAACAACATGATTTTACTATAAATTAAGTGTCACATTTGATGCAGGATTCAATTGCTGTAACAAATGCGATCTTCTTTTTTTTGTAGCCAAATCCTGTATTAATTCATCCAACTTTTCAATTTTTATCAATTTAAATCTTAAATTTAGCCAGAGAGTAAAAATTTGAAGAGATTATTCACCCAGTTGGTGTGATGTATTGCAGATCAGTTCGATCTCAGCTGAAATCTGAGGCAAATCATCTTGAAAGAGATTAGGATTTAGGTCTTAGTGGGGTTACTTTGCATGGGATTAGGGGTAATAAACATAGGCGTACCTAAGTCATTGTGCTAGGGGGGCCTGGCCTCCCTACCACTAAAGGGTCTGGGAGGTATGGAATACCCCTTAGTCAAAAGGGGGGTCCGGGGGGCCTTCTCAGGAAATTTGTTGAGATTTTAATCCTGTTCGGACGTAATTTTGAGGCTTCCATAAAGCAGATTTTCCATTCATTTCTGCCGAAAAATTACGTTTATTTTTTCACTTTCAGCAAAAATCACTCTCAAATTGTTGCGTTGAATGGATCTGGAAATTTTTTAAAATTTTAACTGTATTTGGCCCCATTTTGAGGCCCCCATGATGAAAATTTTAGAAAATACTGAGTGAATGAACGCAGTGTTTTCAATTTAGACTCAACATTAAGAGAGGTACCCATCCTCGACGATGGTCTTTTCCCACCATCCAGAATTTCTGAGAGGGGCCAGATGATACTATTTTCAATTCTAGGGCGGGCCAAAACCCCCCTGCCCCCTCCCTTCATACGCCACTGGTAATAAACATGATACACAATCACTGTTTAATGGTTGATTTGGAATTTTCAGGTTGACAAAGTGGACTCATATGAACCTGATAAATTGTACAAATTAATTGAATTAGAAATGAGAGCAAACCAGAAACAAATCCTTAACAGTTATGTGGTATTTTTGAAAATGGCAGCTGACGGGCTAGGTATCGAAGTTGGCAAAGTGTAAGTATTTGTTAGAGTTGTTTTGTTTCTTTGTCCGATCTCTTATGTTTTTAGCGGCTCATTAATTTTTTACTTTTCATAAACAAGTTGAAATCATAGCTTCTGAAAAGGAGGAAAAACTTGCCTCAGTTTATAGGTACTTTTTTCAAAATTACCGCTAGCGTAACCAAACCGCATGATCCAGAGGGAAGTAAGATGAAAGAAGCTTAGTAACTCTTTATATTTTGAGACATTCACGTAAAAAAAGTAAAACGAAAAAAAAATTAAAATTAAAAGTAAAATTAAAATTCAGAAACTATTAGATAAAAGTAAAATTCTCGGAGTAAAAATGTGTTCTCAAAACAAATCATGATTATTATCATTGTGCATCTGTTAAATTAGGAGAGTGGGATGATCAAAAGATCAAACTTAATGGCAATGTTAAACTTTAAGTTATTTATAAGAGTTGATTGGTAAACTTAAACAATTTTTTTTTCCACCAACAGATGGGGCCCCGACAAAGCACATCACCAAAGGTACACTATTTTACGTTCTGCATTTGTTCATAAGAGATGTCGGGTTCAATATGAATATAGAACCTACCACCGGTACATGAGCTTCCTTAAACTGACAGGTTCAACAGCCGACACATTTCTTGAATATATTGAGAGGAATCTGCCCGAGGGACTTGGCCTGAAGGTCACGAAGGTAAATGTTCGATGTTATTTCTTCATACAGTATTTCACCAAAACAGAAGCTGCCTTTATGAGACAAAATTATGTATCGATGATGCCACTTAAAAGGAGATTAAAGCCAGGCAAGACTGACCCAGGCTTCAAGAGCAGAGGATTTCGCAAAACCTTGATAGCGAGCAACCTCGTTGCATAGGGATGTATTTCAACTAAAGTGGCAAGTCAGCTCTGAAAGGAGGGTTTAGTCCAAAGTTTCTTTGAATACTTGTTGGAAAGATTTCTTAATATAATTTAGTAACTGGAGGAGTAGAAATAAAAAGTTGAGAATATTTGGGGATAAATGTGTGTTGATTTTGAGGAACACAAGTTCTAAGTCTCAACTTAAGCCCGTTTCGTACGATCAAAGTAGAGCTCTCAAAGTGGTGTCACATGACCCTCCGTCGCCCTCAAAGATTGTCTGGCTGACAATCTTCGAGGGTCTTGTGACCCCATGTGACGCCACTTTGAGAGCTTCACTTTGATCGTATGATACGGGCTTTACCCTGTAGAGACCTGCTAAGCTGTGAAAAAATCGGAAACGCCCAGAATTTTTTTCAAACCAGTCTATGCCATCCAATATGGCTTTGAGGACTTCATTTTGCTTTTTTATCTTTGCTTATAATGGTATTTTACGATGGATTATCTGCCAGAACTGTTGGGAAGTACTCTCTCAAGAGATCCCAAATATATATGGGAAACACTTAAGTAAATCTCTAGAAATAAATCCTCTTCTTTTGTTGTAGGTTGCTGTCGAACCTGTGCCGGAACATTTAGTGCCAGGAAAAAGTGAAGAAGTTGAAGAAAGTTCATCTTGAAAACAATGATTGTTGCTTTTGTAAGTTGAATGAAGCCTATTCATGGGAGTTTTGTTATCAGGATAGTTAAAGCTGCCACGAAACTCCAACATTGGTTTTTTTCTTAATTGGTAAGAAAGAAGTGTAGAAATTGAGTATAAAGTGCATAAAAATCTCTGGTCTCTTTGTAAATATGTAACAGTTTTTAGCAAATAAAAGGAGTTTAAAGTTTGAAACCATTCAACTACATCAATCCTGACCATTTTTTCCACATTAGAGCTCTTGAACAAACTCTGAGCACTCAAATACTGTGCTCTGCCTTCTCTCTAAAATTTTTTAGGACTCACCTTGTCCAGAAAGCCCAATTTTTAGGAGCTATTTCCGATCATCAGAAGCCTAATTCACTTTTTACATACACCATGCTGTTTCACTCTGTGTTTACTATCCCTTTCTCAAATATTCTCGTTCTGGATGTATTGGGAGAACTACTGCCGTATCACCATTGCGAGTTTTAAAAATTGATGAGATGCACAGCTTTTCTAGGCACCACAATGCCCCCCCCCCTCCCAGTTTTTAGGCACTCAAACCCTATTTTCAGGCACATTTAGTGCACGGTGACAGGGAAAGCAGAACAAAGCTCGAGTGATAATTTCACAATCCTTCGGTCAAAGTTTACTTATTATGTCAAAGGAAATGATTATAGTCTCTTTGTGAAGAAGAGAAATTCTATTTTTCTTTTCATTTAGATTGCCTTTTGCGGATAGGAACTTACTATGTAGTATTGCGATTTAAATACTAGCGCCCCCTGGCCGCTACGCGGCCCAACCCCCTGAAGGCGCTCCGCGCCGTCAATGGGCCGCTTCGCGGCCCTATTTTTACTCTCCTATCAGTGTTAGTTTTATTTTTCCCCTAAAAGATTACGATATGAGATATACTTAAATTTTAAACATTATACTTAAAATTACTTTAAAATTAAAAGGACGCGTTTAGGAATGACTGCCTAATGAAATATTGCAGTAAAACAATAAACAATGATAGTCAAGTAATAATTGAGAATTCATGAGTCGGGGATCGAACTCACGTCGAGGTAAAGTGGACGCATGCGACGTCTTAGACGACTCGGCCACCGCTCAACATGATAGCGTCCGGCACGAATCTTGTGTAGATAAGTGTAGAGCTGATGCGCAGGCTACACAACTACTGCGCAACCTCCTCGACCACTGCGCATCCTCCCGCGCATAGCGGTAGCAGTACCGGAGCATTCTGTAAACTCACTAACTTTTATAACAGGATTTTAAAAAAACCTGGGTCCTTTTTCCAAAATCTGATTACAGCGGGCTCATCTAAGGCCTATTACCTCTCGATTCACGCAAAAATCATGGAAATCGGCCTGGTAGAACGCTCAAACGAACTATGACAAAAAGTATAAATTTACATTGTTTAAATGGAAGAATTCGCAACTTTACCACGTAATATAAAAAAACCTGGGCCATATTTTGAAAATCTGAAAAGAGTTGGCTTATCTAGAGACAATTGCCCGTCGATAGCCGCAAAAATCATGAAAATCGGCCCGGTAGAACGCTGGAACTAAGCGTCACCAGTTTCGCAAAATTAGGAGGTCTTGGAGCTTATAGTATAGATATTGAAGAATCCCGAGTAATAAAATATTCAAAGAATAAAATTATGGATTCAGCCAGCATGAAGTGTGTATAGGTCGGTTATTCAAAATATTATTAATTTTCCTAAATTTCAATGCTGTCTAATTTTTTTATTCTTATTTTTTATTTATTCATTTATTTTCTTTTTAAATTTTCTTTCGTTTCAGATTTTTATCGTTGCGTTTTTCTCTTTTAGCTTCTCATTAATGTTGGTCCCCTAAAAAATTACATGAGGTATATTTTAATTTTTAGAATGAAATGATTTTTCTTTTTGATAACTAAAGAAGAAAAAAAATGAGAAGGCAAAAGGATGCGATTCTCAATGATTTATTGATGTTCCATTGCAGTAAAATATTGAAATGAGTCGGACTGAAAGTTTCAAAACATTCCCGGGTAGGGAATCGATCCCCCGTCATGTCAACAGGAGGCCAAGCGAGCCGCCTTAACCTACTCGGCCACTACCTTCGATAGCTGAGGATGGTGAATCTTGTGTACATAAAGATAGAGCTGATGCGCAGGCTACCCAGCTACTGCGCAACCTCCTCGACCACTGCGCATCCTCCCGCGCATAGCGGCAGCAGTCCCGGAGCATTCTGTAAAGTTACTCACTTTTATAACGTGATTTTGAAAAAACCTGGGTCCTATTTCCAAAATCTAATTAGAGCGGGCACATATAGGGCCAATTACCTGACGATCTACGCAAAAATCATGGAAATCGGCCCGGTAGAACGCTCAAACGAACTATGACAAAAAGTATAAATTTACATTGTTCTTATGGGAGAATTCGCAACTTTACCACGTAATATAAAAAACCCTGGTTCATATTTTGAAAATCTGAAAAGAGTTGGCTAATCTAGGGACAATTGCCCGTCGATTGCCGCAAAAATCATGAAAATCGGCCCGGTAGAAGGCTGGAACTAAGCGTTACCAGTTACGCAAAATTAGGAGGTCTCGGAGCTTATAGTATAGATATGTAGTATTGCGATGTTATTAATATTTTGCAACTTCTATCTGTGTCATAAATTAACTTTAAAGAGAGCAGTAAATTTTACTGCATGAATAATTTTCTCATTTCATGAACTGTTTTTTGATGTGGAAGTATGCAAGTAGAAATTATTCAAATTTTCAGATTTTTTCTTTACCATGAAAGAAGTTGTCCAAATCTATGCCGCTGTGCTAAGCAAGAACTGTGTTTCTCCATCCACGATTTCGGATTTTTTCGTAGACATGTTACCTTAGAACAAACCATTTTTCTTACTCGCATAATTTGTCGGCACATTATTGTTGTACTTCATACACGCTAGAAAGAATGCAGTATTCATGTATCCTAAAAGAATAAAATATGCATCTATGTACTCAGACTTTCCTTTTACTGAGCGTTCTGTCTAAAAAAGACTCAAAATCTAGAGTGGAGTCTTGTGGTTTTGCTTAGCTTGGCAGTGTAATATTAGTTCCTGTGTAAAATTCAGTCCATATATTCAGTAAGTTATACGGATAGAGTGATAATGAAAGGAAAAAAGACCTAGTTTCTATCAGGATGTAAATATGTATTTTCAATGTCATCAAAATCACTCATTTTAACATAAGCAAAAAAGTACACTCTAGTACATACTTAGTTCTGAGAATAAGGCAACCAAATAACAATATACTGCTTCACATTTTCTGAAAATAATTTTCAAAAATTCAAACGTTGACAAAATTAATCTAACTCCGTATTAACTTCAACAGCCAACTTGAATTGTAAAAGGACAACTGTGAATCCAATGCACGAAAGGATGATCTACCAACAGACATCAAACATCCAAAGATAGCATTAATGTTATTTGCTGCCTCCTGTTAACTATTAATGGAAGTTCTCGAGTGATTTTAGAGGTCTAATTACCGTCTGCTTTTAAGCAGCCTCTGTATTTTTATCCATTAGCAACTGAAATAAAAAAAGCGCCCAACGGACTGACCCTTTAATTGACAGATGACAAGGTGCTAGACAAGGAAGAAAAAAGGAAAATGGAGTGATCCTATTAGTTGAAATGAGTGGTTGTTATAGACTAGGGGGAAAATGATGGACTAACTATAGAGTCTCTTGTAAGTTGCTGTTAGTCAGTCTTACTCTTACCTCCTTTGCCTATTGCAACCACCTGCTTCCCTTTTGATCACTCATTTCTCTCTTTGTCTCCCATGTTGTCTTTTGATTGCAATAATTAGCCTGCAGAAAAGACTTTCCAATTTGACAAGATGCCGCCATGACAAAGTGGACAGGAAGTAACCAAAAGCTTTATAAATATTTAGGTATTTCTACGTGTCAATCCAAGTCTCCATTCTAGGTACTTATGTTGATTTTTTTTTGTTTAATTACATTACAGAAAAATAAACAAGCATTCAGCCTCCATAATTCTGGAGTAATTGGGGGCAAGCTACTGAGAACTCAAACTGATAGAATGAAACATAATGGTGATCTGTCTCTCTAGTAATAGAGCCTTGTGTGTAAAAGAAAAATGCAAAATCTCGAGGGGAGTTTAAATGGTTTTGCTGTGGAGGGAAGAAGGTGGCATTATTCTGAATTTTCTATGCCTAACTCGAGGCCGACAGAACTTCTTTCCTAGCAGTCATTTATTTTCTTAGAGTGATACATTTTCTTATGTGCAGGTTACCGTACGGATTTAAACTGTGTATACTTTCATGTCTGGCTAAATCTCTACGGTGAAAAGTGCAGGTTATGAAAACATAAATCATGTATATGTGATTTCCCCCTAAATCCTCACTTCAATTTTTCTACATTTCGTTTTTCTTTCTTTTTTTTCCTTTTCATTTCAATTCTTTTATGATTCAGTTCTTCAACATTTCGTTAATGATCTTCCAAAAAAGATAATGCAAGTTTGAACTACTTACCTTTGCAAAAAGTCCCATATTTAAGTCAAATGCTCTACAAATAGTGAAACTTATGTTTCGATTTTCTGTTTTATCCAAAAATAGATTTACCTAGAATGAGAAACATGCCAATCTTGCATGGGTAACAACATTGAAAACTTTTCACATCAAGAAAATAAAAAAGCCACTGATCTGCCCATGACCAAAAGTAGATATAAAACGTGAGCCTCAACTATTGATTCAGATATTTTGTAATTTTCCCCTGAAAATGTTACGCAAAAAAAGTTTAAAATACCTATCGTAATTTTAAAAAATATTTACTTATCCTCAGTTTTTTATGGCCGAGTGGCACAAAAATTGTAAATCTGAAGAAGTTCATCTGCACTATAAAAAACGAAATCTTGGTGAACATCTGTTAATTTTATTTGAACAGTGGTACGTCACATCTAGAGATGAAAAATGAGATTTCATTTTCGGCATACACTGAGAGAGGGGCAAATTGCCCTCTCTCATTTACCAACCAAAGTGAAAAAAAGAAGCGGAAAAGTTGGAGATAAATATGTGTAAAACGGCTCTCTATTCTAAGTAATTGGAAAGAGGAATTCTCTCTCCCATTCACTGAACCAGAATCTCCCAAGAGAAAATTAAGGATTGCAAATACAAAATCTTTAGTAAATTTAATTGGTTTTAATCATTTTTAGTCGTAGGCAATATTAAAAATATAAAAAATAAATTCCAGTGTAAAGTCTAACTTACCTCCTCCTGCACAACTTTGCCAACTCCGCAATCATCATACAGAGCTAATACAACACCAGTTCTTGTTCCCTGAAACAAATATAATATGTATAATTCTCCTTAAAACAAACCAGTCATTAGATACCTATTGGTCGCAAATAATGACAGAAAACAACGATTTTTTATGTGTTGATCAAGATCAAAGTTTCTCGGAAAGAAAGACTTCAAAAGTCGATATTTATTTTTCAAGTTCAACCTCTAGATGTATAAAATTACAAACATGAACACATATTAATTACAACATACTTTCATACACTCATCGGTCGGTAAGGCAAGGCCTATACACAGGTATCCGGAAATCGACCAAAAATGCTCGAAAATGACGGAAAAAGACGAAATTTACATGTTAGGTAATCCAGGGCCGTCTTTACCTACTTGCCGCCCCCTCCTCATTCGTTTTGAAACTTCAATAAAAACCATCAAGTGAACGTGCCAGAAGGGGAGGGGTGCATAAGACTCGTTTACTCGTGTTGGACACTTTTTGCGAAAGCCCTGTCAACAACTCAACACTCCTAGCAAAAGTTCACGGAACTTAGCGCGAAAGTCAAGTTCCTTAAACCTACCTCTGTGTGAACAAGGCCTTCCATTTGTAATAAATGAACGTAAAAATTATGCAAGATCAAACAAAAATGTGTTTTAATAATATTAACTTCCGCCGCGCTGACCGCACTGAGTTTGACGCAATGCGTGAAGTATTCATGAAGTCTAGTAGGCGCCATGCGTTTCACGCTAACCGCACTGTTTTTGTCGTAATGCTTGAAGTATTCATGTAGTCTTGTAGGCGCTATGCGTGTCACGTCGGCCGCTAGCTGCTGACCGTGACCGCACTGTGTTTTACGCAATGCGTGAAGTATTCATGCAGCCTTGTAGGTGCGAATATGTGTCACATGCCGACCGCCGCGAAGTCCTCGTCATTATTGCTCTCTGCGTCGCACCGCTCCATGCCAAATTGGGTGTTAAGTTTCTCTCTTGACTCGACTAATTAAAAGTGACAGCACTTTTAATTAGTCACTGCCTCTTGTACCTATCACCGAAAGACGACAAAATTAGAAATTACAATACTCTCAGGAAATGCGAGATTTTGTCGCCTTTTCTCGTTTGTAATTTTTTTTCTGAATCCGATTTTCTTTTTATACCTACATGTAAAAAAAATTGCAAAATTTGCCCCCATGGGCTGCGGCCCATGTGGCCACCCCCAAATCCGGCCCTGTGTCGATCTATAATTACCTCGAAAGTAGTAACTTCAATCATCAATATTCGTTTTACTATCAGGTGTAATACGCAGTGATCTCATGGGAGATTACCTACGGAATTTCGAGTTTTGACGTCGTTAATCGATTTATCGATGCCGAACGTTTTTGTTCAGTTTTTGCGAATAATGATTTCGCACATTTTATTTGTTACTTATCTAGAAGTAGCTATTTGGCAACGCTGTCGCATACAGAAGTTACGATGAGTAAGTATTCGACGTGCTATGATGATATCGTCACCTTCCACGCAAAGTATCACAAGCGCCATGCGACGTTTAAAAATTTCCGCCGCCATTTTATTTTTTTACAAAGAAATTGTTCAACGAAGCTGTCCGAAAATTTCACTGAATTTTCTTTGTGCTGCCGATAAAATTTAGTGAAATTTCCAAACAGATTCAACCAACAATTTCTCAGTAAAGAAATAAAATGGCGGCGGAAATGTTTAAACGTCGCATGACGCTTGTGATACTTTGCCTGGAAGGTGACGATATGTAGATACCTACGTCAAATTAAACGGCACAATTCAAGTGAAAGTAATACTTAGAAAAAATTCTCATAAAATTAGACCTGAATAGAATCTGGTCAGCAGCAATTAAATTTAAGGAGACCTTTGTATCCTGTCAGCAGCATGAGACGTACAACTCACTCAGTAGGTCTAAAAATCAGGTTAGTCTAATGAATGATTTAACTAATGATTAGTTAATGATTTTAAGACTACGCTCTCGTGCGCTTTTTTTCCACGAGAGATCATCGGGATACTCAGTCATTAAAATTAGCCTCAGATTGGTGGAAGAGAACAAGACTCCATAGTGCTGGCCAGTTGAAAAGTGGCAACTTTATTTACATGTAGTTATAGGCATGGATAGTGTAATGGTGCAACATTTTCCGTCTTCTGAAGTAGATAAAATTGAAGGCGCCTTCATCATCTCCATGATAACACTGAATACAACTATTCGTGCTCTGAGGATATCCGTGTTGCATACCCGCAAAATTGCAGGCGCTTTTATTTTCTTTCTAGCTTCGCCTAACTGGCCGGTTGCAACTATTTTTGCTTAAGCGACGTGTTGCATGTGAATCTTCAGGTGAGCTGTCACCTGAAAAGTGGCCGAATAGTGCAACTAGCGGAAACGTCAATGGTAATAATTTAAGGCATTGATATTCGAAATGATTGTCCGGAACCGTTTTTGTAGAGCATCTAGTAAACGTGCCATGCAGCCCAGTGGTGAACCACTCGGATACTCATTCTACTCGTATCTTCAGTTTTTATAAAGAGCAAGTTTTTAGTGTATTTTCCGAAGACTTAGTGTTTTTTTCCGAAGATCTGGTGTATTTTCCGAAGGCCGAAGGCAAATACAATCTTCCCCGGATATCGCACCGAAATCTGAGAGCGGAGACCTGCGCTGAAGAAAAATGTCGAATAAATCCTCAGGCGTTGCTAAAGTTCCTTTGTTAAAACGCGAATTTCCTGGTAAACTTATGAGTATTTTCCTCCCAATTTTTCAGATAATTTTGTTCAAGATCTCACCTAAAGATTCAAAAAATTTGAAGGAAAAATATCCATAACTTCCCTCAAAAATATAAACATTTTATCGACGGAAATTCGGTAACCCTTGATTGTTCATACGGCGTTCTTCCTCAGCGGCAGTGTAGCACCGATCCAAGGCCGTAAATCACGAATATGGTAGCCTCCTCTCAGATTCTTCTCCCCACGATACGCATGTGCGACGTGGGTATGTATCAGTGGCGTTGCGTGAATTGCGATATATCGATTGTTATGCCATTTGAACCTATGGTAAAGAATCGAATATTAAGGTGTTCGCTGCGAACACCCTGTCTATCGATCCTTTTCCATAGGTTTAAATGGCATAACAATCGATGTATCGCAATTCATGCCACGCCGCTGGTATGTATCTTATCTATCATGCAGGGTGCCCCAGGATTACGCACGAATATTGAAGGACTCGATTTTTTGGGTAAAAAAAGACGTGTTTGTGACATAACTTTTTTTCCAAAAACGCTTTCTCTGCAGGAGCCCGTAATTATCCCTTTATTATCTTCTATTATCCCCTATTTGTCCCTATTACCTAAAAATCAATGAGTTATAGCGAAGAAACGCAGTGTACATTATCTAACTATTTTTCAATGCTGAATCTAGTGGTGCCGTCAAAAATCAATTTTTGTCGCCAGAAACATTAATTTTGGCCACTTTTAGGTTCGATACCCCCCTAAAACTCTCTTCAAAATGAGTTTTCCTTTTTAGGAGGTCAAAAATAAGAAGGGCGCTAAAAATGCCCCCGGTTACCAATTTTCATCAATGTTGGTCGATAAACATCGTCACAGTGTAAAAAGACTATTTTTTTCTCCAATTTTGGGGGGGCCGCGGCCCCCAGGGAAAGCGTTTTTGGAAGAAAAGTTATACTATAAATACGTCTTTTTCGACTCCTTCAAATTCGTACTTAATCCTGGGACACCCTGTATATCGACGGTGAAACTACCAAACCACGTATCTCGGTTTGCGACGTCGCAGACTTCCTGTCATACTTTATTTTTTAAATGAAAAACTACTTAACGTCCAGTCTTAAAAATTTCTGTGATTTTTCCTCTTTGTGCGGAGAAAGTTCTGTGAAAATTTCAAGGAATGATATTGATTTGGTCTACGTCAAAAAAATAAAATGTGAGCGTAGATTTTTAGACACCGCAAACGAGATACGTGGTTTGGCAGTTTCACCGTCGATGTATGATAAATCGACGGTGAAACTCTGAAACCACGTAGGTATCTCGAATCGCGGTGTTTAAAAATCCCCAAAAATTTGATTTTTTCAAAGGAGAACAGATCAACATGATTTTTTGACATGTTTTCAAAATTGGCTCCGCATGCACAGAGAGAGATCACGGACGTTTAATGTGACGTTTAATGTGCGAATGTGCGGACTGACGTGGTTGACGGCGACGTCGGGGGCGGACGTGACGATATACATCCTGGAGAGGAGGTGGAGAGACCAGGCAGCGCCGTGGAGGACGTTCACCCACGCCGGGTCCAGGACCCGGATGGAGGAGTCGCAGATCTGCTGCAGGTTGATGACCATGAAGATCCCGATCTGCAGCACGTCCAGGGCCATCTGCAGCTCGTACATCTTGCTCACTTTCTCCACGTAATCGCAAACCAGAGAATGGTTGTCTGCCAGTCGCCCGATCTTCATAGCCACTGCAAGTACAACACGATGGTCTAACTGAAGAAATAACATCGTCACCTTCCGGCCATTGAAAGGTTGGCGACAGGGGGTTTTAGAAGAGATAAGGGTTTGCCAACTCCCTGAAGGTAGAGTCCCTTTATACTGAGANTTTTATGATTCAGTTCTTCAACATTTCGTTAATGATCTTCCAAAAAAGATAATGCAAGTTTGAACTACTTACCTTTGCAAAAAGTCCCATATTTAAGTCAAATGCTCTACAAATAGTGAAACTTATGTTTCGATTTTCTGTTTTATCCAAAAATAGATTTACCTAGAATGAGAAACATGCCAATCTTGCATGGGTAACAACATTGAAAATTTTTCACATCAAGAAAATAAAAAAGCCACTGATCTGCCCATGACCAAAAGTAGATATAAAACGTGAGCCTCAACTATTGATTCAGATATTTTGTAATTTTCCCCTGAAAATGTTACGCAAAAAAAGTTTAAAATACCTATCGTAATTTTAAAAAATATTTACTTATCCTCAGTTTTTTATGGCCGAGTGGCACAAAAATTGTAAATCTGAAGAAGTTCATCTGCACTATAAAAAACGAAATCTTGGTGAACATCTGTTAATTTTATTTGAACAGTGGTCACATCTAGAGATGAAAAATGAGATTTCATTTTCGGCATACACTAAGAGAGGGGCAAATTGCCCTCTCTCATTTACCAACCAAAGTGAAAAAAAGAAGCGGAAAAGTTGGAGATAAATATGCGTAAAACGGCTCTCTATTTTAATTGGAAAGAGGAATACTCTCTCCCATTCACGGAACCAGAATCTCCCAAGAGAAAATTAAGGATTGAAAATACAAAATATTTAGTAAATTTAATTGGTTTTAATCATTTTTAGTTGTAGACAATATTAAAAATATAAAAAATAAATTCCAGTGTAAAGTCTAACATACCTCCTCCTGCACAACTTTGCCAACCCCGCAATCATCATACAGAGCCAATACAACGCCAGTTCTTGTTCCCTGAAACAAATATATGTATAATTCTCCTTAAAACAAACCAATCATTAGATATTGGTCGTAAATAATGACAGAAAACAACGATTTTTTATGTGTTGATCAGAGTATCTCGGAAAGAAAGACTTCAAAAGTCAATATTTATTTTTCAAGTTCAACCCTTAGATGTATGAAATTACAAACATACAAACATGAACACATATTAATTACAACATACTTTCATACACTCATTGGTCGGTAAGGCAAGGCCGACACAGGTATCCGGAAATCGACCAAAAATGCTCGAAAATGACGGAAAAAGACGAAATTTTCAAGTTAGGTAATCCAGGGCCGACTTTACCTACTTGCCGTCCATGGGACGCCTGTATTTTGCCGCCCTCATTCGTTTTGAAACATCATTAAAAACCATCAAGTGAAGAAGGGGAGGGGTGCAGAAGACTCGTTTACTCGTGTTGGACACATTTTTTGTGAAAGCCCTGTCAACAACTCAACACTCCTAGCAAAAGTTCACGGAAACTTATAGCGAGAAAGTCAAGTTCCCTAAACCTATCTCTGTGTGAACATGGCCTTCCATTTGTAATAAATGAACGTAAAAATTATGCAAGATCAAACATAAATGTGGTTACTAATTTTAACTTCCGCCGCGCTGACCGCACTGTTTTTGTCGTAACGCTTGAAGTATTCATGTAGTCTTGTAGGCGCTATGCGTTTCACGTCGGCGCGTGGTCGGCCGCTGCTGACCGTGACCGCACTGTGTTTTACGCAATGCGTGAAGTGTTCATGCAGTCTTGTAGGTGCTAATATGTGTCACATGCCGACCGCCGCGCCGAGGGCTTCTCCTTTTCATATTAAGTCCTCGTCATTATTTCTCTCTGCGCCGCACCGCTCCATGCCAAATTGGGTGTTTAGTTTCTCTCTTGACTCGACTAATTAAAAGTGACAGCACTTTTAATCAGTCACTGTCTCTTGTATCACCGAAAGACGACAAAATTAGAAATTACTGTACTCTCGGGAAATGCGAGATTTTGTCGCCTTTTCTCGTTTGTAATTTTTTTTCTGAATCCGATTTTCTTTTTAATACCTAAATGTAAAAAAATCGTAAAATTTGCCGCCATGGGCTGCGGCCCATGTGGCCACCCCCAAATCCGGCCCTGTGTCTATCTATAATTAGGTACCTCGAAAGTAGTAACTTCAATCATCAATATTCGTGTTACTATCAGGTGTACCTAATACGCAGTGATCTCATGGGAGACTACGGAATTTCGAGTTTTGACGTCGTTAATCGATTTATCGATGCCGAACGTTTTTGTTCAGTTTTTGCGAATAATAATTTCGCACATTTTATTTGTTACTTATCTACAAGTAGCTATTTGGCAACGCTGTCGCATACAGAAGTTACGATGAATAAGTATTCGACGTGCTATGATGATATGTAGATACCTACATCAAATTAAACGGCACAATTCAAGTGGAAGTAATACCTAAAAAATTCTCATAAAATTAGACCTGAATAGAATCTGGTCAGCGACAATTAAATTTAAGGAGGCCTTTGTATCCTGTCAGCAGCATAAGACGTACAACTCACTCAGTAGGTCTAAAAATCAGGTTAGTCTAATTAATGATTTAATTAATGATGAATTAATGATTATGAGACTACGCTCTCGTGCGCTTTTTTTCTACGGGAGATCATCGGGATACTCAGTCATTAAAATTAGCCTCAGATTGGTGGAAGAGAACGAGACACCATAGTGCTGGCCAGTTGAAAAGTGGCAACTTTATTTACATGTAGTTATAGGCATGGATAGTGTAATGGTGCAACATTTTCCGTCCTCTGAAGTGGATAAAATTGAAGGCGCCTTCATCATCTCCATGATAACACTGGATACAACTATTCGTGCTCTGAGGATATCCGTGTTGCATACTCGCAAAATTGCAGGCGCTTTTATTTTCTTTCTAGCTTCGTCTAACTGGCCGGTTGCAACTAATTTTGCTTAAGCGACGTGTTGCATGCGAATGTAGGTACAATCATTTGAAAAACATCGCAACAATTCAGGTGAGCTGTCACCTGAAAATTGGCCGAATAGTGTAACTAGCGGAAACGTCAATGGCAATAATTTAAGGCATTGATATTCGAAATGATTGTCCGGAACCGTTTTTGTAGAACATCTAGTAAACGTGCCATGCAGCCCAGCGGTGAATCACTCGGATACTCATTCTACTCGTATCTTTAATTTTTATGAAGAGCAAGTTTTTAGTGTATTTTCCGAAGACTTAGTGTTTTTTTCCGAAGATTTGGTGTATTTTCCGAAGGCAAATACAATCTTCCCCGGATATCGCACCGAAATCTGAGAGCGGAGACCTGCACTGCCGCGCTGAAGAAAAGTGTCGAATAAATCCTCAGGCGTTGCTAAAGTTCCTTTGTTAAAACGCGAATTTCCTGGTAAACTTATGAGTATTTTCCTCCCAATTTTCAGATAATTTTGTTTGCATTCTCATCTAAAGATTCAAATAATTTGAAGGAAAAATATCCATAACTTTCCTCAAAAATATAAACATTTTATCGAAGGTAATTCGGTAACCCTTGAATGTTCATACGGCGTTCTTCCTTAGCACGGCAGTGTAGCACCGATCCAAGGCCGTAAATCACGAATATGGTAGCCTCCTCTCAGATTCTTCTCCCCACGATACGCATGTGCGACGTGGGTATGCATCAGTGGCGTGGCGTGAATTGCGATACATCGATTGTTATATGCCATTTGAACCTATGGTAAAGAATCGAACATTAAGGTGTTCGCTGCGAACACCCTGTCTATCGATCCTTTTCCATATGTTTAAATGGCATAACAATCGATATATCGCAATTCATGCCACGCCGCTGGTATGTATCTTATCTATCATGCAGGACGACCCAGGATTACGCACGAATATTGAAGGACTCGATTTTTTGGGTAAAAAAAAGACGTGTTTGTGGCATAACTTTTTTCCGAAAACGCTTTCCCTGCGGGAGCCCGTCATTATCCCTGTATTGTATTCTATTATCCCCTATTTGTCGATCCCCTAACAACAATGAGTTCAAAAAATGAGTAACAAACAATTAGTCATAGCGAAGAAACGCAGTGTACATTATCTTTCTATTTTTCAATGATGAATCTAGTGGTGCCGTCAAAAATCAATTTTTGTCGCCAGAAACATTAATTTTGGCCACTTTTAGGTTCGATACCCCCCTAAAACTCCCTTCAAAATGAGTTTTCCCTTTTTCGGAGGTCAAAAGTAAAAAGGGCGCTAAGAATGCCCCCGGTTACCAATTTCCATTAATACTGGTCGATAAACATCGTCACAGTGTAAAAAAGACTATTTTTTTGCTTCAACTTTGGGGGGCCGTAGCCCCCCGGGAAAGCGTTTTTGGAAGAAAAGTAATACTATAAATACGTCTTTTTTTGACCCAAAGAATCGACTCCTTCAAAACTCGTACTTAATCCTGGGACACCCTGTATACATGATAAATCGATGGTGAAACTCTGAAACCACGTAGGTATCTCGAATCGCGGTGTTTAAAAATCCCCAAAAATTTGATTTTTTCAAAGGAGGACAGATAAACATAATTTTTTGGCATGTTTTCAAAATTGGTTCCGCATGCACAGAGAGAAATCACGGACGTTTAATGTGTAAATGACGTGCGGACTGACGTGGTTGACGGCGACGTCGGGGGCGGACGTGACTATATACATCCTGGAGAGGAGGTGGAGAGACCAGGCAGCGCCGTGGAGGACGTTCACCCACGCCGGGTCCAGGACCCGGATGGAGGAGTCGCAGATCTGCTGCAGGTTGATGACCATGAAGATCCCGATCTGCAGCACGTCCAGGGCCATCTGCAGCTCGTACATCTTGCTCACTTTCTCCACGTAATCGCAAACCAGAGAATGGTTGTCTGCCAGTCGCCCGACTTTCATAGCCACTGCAAGTACAACACGATGGTCAAACTGAAGAAATAACATCGTCACCTTCCGGCCATTGAAAGGCCTTGTCCACACGAGCGCAGTTCGCGGAACTTATTCCTCGAACTTGCTCAGTTCTCGGAACTTATTCCTTGAAACGAGGCATGCTGTCCACACGGGTTCGTCCGAACTGGAACCGGAACTTCAATAAAACTATACAATTATTGCAAAATAATAGATTATTATGACCGCCAAAGTAACAAAAATAAATGTCAAGATCATATGTAAAGGACATGAAAAACAAAAACAAGCAAATTCACATCAAAAGAAACATATTTAGAAGCTCGGAGCACGGGGGAAATTCCAGGTTTTGGAGGAATAAGTTTCAGCTCAGCAAAAGACTTGTTCCGGGAACAAGTTCCTCGAACTGAGTTCCGCGAACCGCGTTCGTGTGGACAAGGCCAAAGGTTGGCGGCAGGGGGTTTTAGAAGAAATAAGGGTTTGCCAACTCCCTGAAGGGCTTTGGGAGGATAGGGGACTTTGACGGCTAGGGGTCGCAGAGCGCCAGAGAAAAGCGGCTTTATACATACATATCTTCCGGCCAAAGTATCACAAGCGCCATGCGACGTTCCAAAATTTCCGCCGCCGGATTATTTTTTTACAGAGGAATTGTCGGTTGAATCGGTTTGAAAATTTCACTGAATTTTATCGGCAGCACAGAGAAAATTCAATGAAATTTTCGGACAGCTTTTCCCATTTTCCCTGGAGGACCATCTCGAGCTCGGAATTTTGAGTTATTTGAGTACGATATTTTGGCACCTATATGGAAATTTTTAAAATTTCCATACCAGAAAATTAAAACGCGCTATAAATAAAGGGGTTATTTGTGCGAATGGTAAGAGAAGGACCTTCTGCCCATTCCCCGTTGCCATTTTTGAAGATACCTACCAATTTTACTGCTGTCCACGTGGATCCTTTTTCTGAGGCTGTCCAGCCTTGAGTTGAGTGAAACAAATAACTGGTGCAGTGAAGTCGCTAACGCATAGAACTGCAAGTCCACGGACAGTGGTATGAAAACCATGAACTCCTGAAACATCACATTTCCACGTGACCATTTTATCCTAAAATTTGAGCCGTGCTTAATTGGGTGGGTAGAATGTTTCCATCAGTGCTGGTATGATATGCAGCAAGTATGCTGCTGCGCCCGAGCATGTATGTACAGGGCCGGAAAAGGGGGGGCGGCCCATGGCGGCGAATTTAGGGGGCGGTAAATTTTGCAATTTTCTTAAATGTAGGTATAAAAAAAATCGGATTCAGAGAAAAAAATTATCAATGAGAAAAGTGGACAAAATCTCTCTTTCCTGAGAGCATAGTAATTTCTAATTTTGTCGTTTTTCGGTGATACAAGAGCAGCATCTTTATTTAGTCGAGCCAAGAGAGGAACTAAACACGCAATTTGGCCTGGAGCTCAGCGCAGAGAGGAATGAAGACGAAGACTTGAGATGAAAAGGACAAGCCCTCGGCGCGGCGCGGCGCGGCAGTCGGCATGTAACACATATTAGCGCCTACAAGACTGCAGGAATACTTCACGCATTGCGCCAAACACAGTGCGATCAGCGCGGTGCAGCGGCGGAAGTAAAAATTATTTAACCACATTTATAATTGTTCTTTCATAATTTTTTGGTTCATTTCTTATAAATTGATAAAATAATATAAAATAATTAAATTTAGCAAATGGGTGGTTTTTATAGGAGGATTATAACTAAACAAGTGGTTACAAATGAAAACAAAATAATATGAAGTATGCAAAACGATTATTCCGATAACGGAACTTGTCTGTTTTGAGAACGCCTTCAAATGCGGTGTGATACCTGACGCATTCCGGAGAGTTCAAATAGTTGTATCATTGCGCCGTAAGTATGTGACGGAAGATTGAAATGGAGAAAGCCTCCATGCACGCTGGGGGAGTGTCGATTTCCTGTGACATTTTTGCAGTGGTGAATGCATAGCTGAAGTGCGCTCCAGCTAGAATTGTATTTAGCAAATGGGTGGTTTTTCTACGAGGATTATACTTACGCAAGTGGTTAGAAATGGAAACAAAATAATATGAACTATGCAAAACGATTATTCCGATAACGGAACTTGGCTGATTTGAAAACGCCGTCAAACGCGGCGTGATACCTCACACATTCCGGAGAGTTCAAATAGTTGTATCATTGCGCCTTTGAAATGCGACGGAAGATTACAATTGAAATAGCCTTCAAGCACGCTGGCCTTTTCGATTTCCGTTAACATTTTTGCAGTCATAAATGTGCACTTCATCTAGAATTGTATTTAGCAAATGGGTGGTTTTTCTACGAGGATTAAAAATAATCGAGTGGCACGGAATATAAAAATAGAAAATGAACTATGCAAAACGATAATCCGGGTATCGGAAGTAAGGTGTTTTGAAAACGCCTTCAAACGCGGCGTGATACCTGACGCATTCCGGAGAGTTCAAATAGTTGTATCATTGCGCCGTAAGAACGTGACGGAAGATTTAAATGGAAATGGCCTCCATGCACGCTGAGCGTGTCGATTTCCTGTGACATTTTTGCAGTGGTGAATGCATAGCTGAAGTGCGCTCCAGCTAGAATTGTATTCAGCAAATGGGTGGTTTTTCTACGAGGATTAAAAATAAACAAGTGGCACGGAATATAACAAAAGAATATGAACTGTGCAAAACGATAATCCGGGTATTGGAACTTGTCTGTTTTGAAAACGCCTTCAAATGCGGCGTGATACCTGACGCATTCCGGAGAGTTCAAATAGTTGTATCATTGCGCCGTATGAATGTGACGGAAGATTACAATGGAAATAGCCTTCATGCAGCCTGGCCACATCCCATCTCGGGCCCTGGTACCAGTTTTAAGGTCCGGGCCCCAAGCACGGCGGGGGGGTCCGAGGGGCATCCCCCGAGAAATTTTAGAAGTTGTTCGACTAATCGAACGCATTTTGAAGCTTCCATAAAGAATTTTTCCATCAATTTCTGTGGAATAATATTTTTTTTTTTTCTTATACTTTCAGCACAAAATACTTGCGAATTGTTGCATTCAAAACAGCTGGAAAATTTTTATTTTTCTTTGGGGGGGGGGGCATATGATACTATTTTCAGTTCTAAGAGGGCCAAGCCCCCCTGGACTCCCCCTTCGTTTGTCTATGGCAAGGGAGTTGAGTCATGAGCCATTGAAGTCGAGGATGCCCAGACTGGATACTCTTAGCATCTGACGACGGAAGAAAATGAAACGCAGTTACTGAAAATACCCCTATGTACGGAAAATCTTGAAAATAGAATTTTCCAAGAAGTATACTTTTTTGAAAATTTAAGAAGAATTCTATAGTGCCCCAGCGTGTTTCTGAAAATCTATTCACCTTTTGCGAAATTTTTAGGGTAAATTTGTCAATTTTTCTTATGAAACAAGGGTTGCATGTGAATGCGTAGTGGTTTTTCGCCGGAAACACGGGCCCCCTCCGGGGCAGTATCCCCCCCCCCTTGTGGCGGGCCTGGGTTAGAGTATTTTATAAATTAAGGATGTGGAAATTATCTTCGCAATAATATTAATTTCGCAAACTATTTTTTGATTTTGATTAAATTGAAATTTCGTAATGTGCATATCTTTGCACAATTTTGTCGTAACTATTGCTCTGGAAAATACTACTTTGGATATACATTACCTGAATTTTCCTCCATAGCGGCGTCGGGGTATTGGTCAGAGAGAGCCTGTTGATGACAATTGGAGCAAGTGCCAGTGTCGTGCAAAGCAGAACCGGGGCTGATAAACTGTTCCAAAATGTACTGTTGAAATTGGCGGGAAATTGTAACTCTTATTCGTGAAAATTGGGCGGTTAGAAAAAAAAGAGAAATAATTATAATGAGAGTCATTCAATGGTGAAGAATTTCAAGATGTTTTTTTCTTTACGCAAGAATAAAGTCAGTGTGTATACTTAACCAGCAAGCATTGATGGGATAAGGCCATTTCTGATAGTATACATAAACGTCGAATTGAAGAATATATTTCGAATAATCCACAAAATACTCAATGTCGAGCTCTAAGGATTTCATGAACGTAGCTGACGGTTCGTGGGGTTTCTGCCCTTTTGAAAGCTGCTGCCTCCTCCCTCTCCTCTAGATACAACGTAACCGTATGTCGCCCCTCAATAGGCACTATATTAGACTCCAGAGTAGAGTGACTGAGCCAATCTTGTCCTACGAACATGTTTCAACCGCCTATACTCTGTCTCACGAACGACGATCCCTGGCCCGACGGTCATTTTTGCAGTCGACGGTAACACCGCTGATGACTTGGACGAGGCATTTCAACGAAGAGACTTGAGGAGCCGTTTGTTGCTTGGACCTCTGGTCACTTGCCCGTTAAGAGATGAACCCTTCCTGCAGGCCCGTGACATAATTCTCCTCCCGTTGAGCAACCCGTATTAGTAGGAGTGCTATTTTTCTTTAATTTTAGATAAAATATGGACTTTTAACTGCATCAAACGATGCAGCATGGAAATCCACGCAAGGTGACGTAAAATTATCTGAATTGGAGCAAATTTGACGATTTTCACAAAGATTCCCTACAGTCACTTCCATAGTTGAAACTGTAAGTTTATGATCTGATTTAAAAAAGTTAAGAGAGGCAAATGAGCAGTAAAAGGCTGATCAATGAAAATTGGACAACATTTGTAATTAGGAACTACAATCTGACTCATCTGTAAAAACACATATGTCTATAGGGAAATTAATGGTACAGACGTTGTTTTCAAACTTAGTCAAAAATTGTAATTCCTAATTGCAAATGGCAGCGAGTTCTATCGATGTTGTCGACTGCCGAGCGCGTGCTGAGCAAAAGGTTAGATTCGAAGATCCAGAGAATCAACATACAAAAACCAAAAAAATCGCTGCCGATTGGTGTATAATTTATATTAATTAAATTTCGACCATAGAGAAAAAAAAAGGAGGTGTTTGCATCTTGAGGTTTGTTTACCCTGTGACGTAGGTTGGTACAACCTGGCCAGCGAAATCCGGAATTCGGAATATGAAAAACGGACCATAATGTCCGATTTTTTTACTTAAATCAACTCATTATATAATTTCAAGCACTTTTTATAGAATGACTTTTTTCCTTAAATTACACCATTTCCAAGAGAATCGACAGGATAAACGTCGCTGTACCGACCTACGTCATCAAATCATCAAAAAAATTCCAAGATGCCCGAAATGCAAACACCTCCTTTTATTTCTCTATGTATTTCGCCAGTATGCGAGGAAAAAATTATACCGGCCGGAGTGCAAAGGGTTTCGAGTTTCGTCAAGTTTTCGCAGAGATATCTCAAAATAACGCAAAAGTTAAACGGGTTCGTGTAAGATACAGTAGCGGCTCCAATCCTCGGTTGGAGATCTCTATATAGGCTTGACGGAGTCGCTAACGCTCCTAGTAATAGATCGTTTTCGATACATCAAATAGGTGAGATTGTATCGATATCGATTGGTTCAACATGTAAACATACCCTCGAAAGTCAATCGAGTAATCTGAGGAAACGGGGATTTTCTGATAGATTTTTTATTCTTATGAGTACTAAATGGCATCGCAAGGTGAGATGGTTAGGAATTCTCTCATTTTCAGCTTTTCCGACTGAAATCCTGAAAGTTTTGTTTGAGGTTATGTTCTATTGATTTGAACCGAACGACACATCGAACCACTATCGAGAACAATCTATGATTCTTCTGAAAGAAAAAAAGGTATTCAGGGGGCCTATTCAAAGGCCTATTTCAGACTAGCAGATATTTGTGATGAAGTCGGGCAAAACAATCCGTATGGTCAAAGTATATATGTCAAAGATTTCTACTTCACAGCACATTTTTCCCAACTCCACCATATTCATTCGACGTCAAAATTTTCATAATTCATGCTTACCACTTTCGATTATGCCGACGATGATCGGTCGTATATTCTTGGTTTTCAGAACTTGGAGAAGGAGGTGGACGATGCAAACAAAATTGCAAAAGGCGTGAATTATGATTTGATCGTGAGGAATTTTGTCCGAGTACACCTGTACGAAGGAAAATAATTTTGTCATCAAAGTGTTGACTTTAAATTACCCATTGACGCCAATGGAGGTGAAAAACAAGAAAGTTACTAAAACTTCATTTTAGTATTTAATCTGAAATTATATCTGAGATTATATACTGTATTTAAGTTTGCGACAAGGTTGTGATGTTATACATATTTCCCGGCGCATTTCATTTTTACGAAAAACGAATGGCCATCGTTTTTGTTCCCAATGCCTTGTGATACATCAGGATTGTTCTTTGATCATTTCGTACTTAAACGTCAAAATTAGTTTCATTAAAAAAATATGAGGGAAACTCTACATCGACGGTGAAAGTACCAGATCAGGTTTGCGGCACGGGTAGTCTTCGCCCTCGGATGAGAAGCATGGATCGAACGGCGAAGAAGGACTCAAGAATCTTCTTCAGAGCTTCTCTGATTTCTCAGAAGCCTCTGAGAATTCTCCAAGACGCAGATTAAGAAGCAAAATATTACAAGGGCTGCGTTTCTCGAAAAATTGACGATGTCGCGATGAGAATCAGTAATGCTTTACTTCATCGGCACAATAGACAACTCTGGAATTAATAGGTGTAAGATAAACAAGTGATATTCAGTTAGTGACGTATGCAACGGATACTAAATGAGTTTCACTATGACACCTGGATGCAACTATTCGCGTTCCATTGATGTGCGTGTTGCATACGCACGCTAGTGAAGGCGTTTTGAGTCTCCAGGCACTTAGCGCTTCACCCGCGGCGCGGCGGGGCGCTGCGCTGCTACTGCGAGGATCCGAAATGAGGAAGCACCCCCAAAACATTATTTGCACTACAAAGGCATCCTGAGATACTTCGGTACTCCGTTAACACACAAAAAAGGGGGGCGAGGAGACGTGTTGTGCGTTCTTAAAAGTTCAAGCGTGTGCGCGTAAAGTGGGTGTATTTGACTAATATCTTCCGTTAAAATACTTACTCTTGTGAAAGCTTGCTGCGGAGTGAGTTGAAGTAAATAAATTCCCGCTGAAACTAGCATGTACGTGTTGTATAATAGAAGAAAAAACCACGTTGTAACTCCGAATATGAAAATAATCGACAGTTCCGGCAATCTACGTTTGGTCAACTGCACAAATACATGTCGATAATTGTATACATGAAACAAAAAATCAACATAAAAGGAAATTAGAATTTAAATTGTTGGAACAAATTCGATAACCTTAGTGTGGATTGGCGAAATTAAAAGCATGTACGGTGAAAATTAGGGGATCTTACTTTTCCAAAGTCCCTGAAACGTGCGAAGTTTCTTTTTAATTCCAACATCATGAGCAGTGGATTTCTTTTGAAATAAAATCCGACAAAAATTTGAAAGTTTGTAACTCACAAAATAAGCCGTACAAACGTGAAGAATCAAGGACTGATGGGTAAGCATTAAGGCACCCGGAAGATGACAATACAAATTACTGTCTTACTAGTAACTTGAAGCAATTCGACAGGCCGATAAAAAATCGAGGAATTCTATTTTCTCACGAACGAAAGAAAAACGAAATTCAGGGACAAAAAAAAATATATTATACCGACATACTCTTAAATCGCTAGAAGATTTTATGTTCGATCTGATGCTACAATTTAGCCGAAAGATGATTTTGTCGTATCATGAGGTATATCGGTTGCCAAAGTCGGAATTAGGAGGTACGTCCATTCCAATGTTGCGTTTTTCGATTATGTTTCATTTTTTGAGGGAAAACCACCCGAATAATTCTTTGAAATTTTCTGTAAGTGTTTTTGCACAAAAAAATTCACAAAAATTCAAGAAATACCGTCAATTGCTTCTCTTTTAAGGAGCTAAAACTTGACGGAGTTTTGATATCAAAGCTCAATCGGAGGTACCCGTTATTCGACTTCAGCCAGCGATATGATACGGACTCACGTCACACAAAATGTTAAGCATTGAAATAGGGTTGACCTCGGTCTCGTGATCTCTCGCGGCGATTGGCAATGTGCCGCAAAGCTTTGAGAACAGAAGTATGTGCCGAAAAACGTGGGTAGTGCGAATTGTTTGATTTTTATACGTCACGTTTAAGAACAGATTCTCCAGCTTGAACAGCATTTTTTTACTCGATTTACGGTCCACGTTCTGACACTCGTCCTTGATTTTCGTAGATGTTTCGTTTGATCCAAGGACTCCATCTTCTCGCTTGGCCGTTTTCATCTGAAATTCACAATGAGTCCATCAATCGTGTATCAGGAAATCAAGAGACACCTCTTTGAGCACAAAGTGCTCTAACAATAAGTGCCATCATCATTATATTAAGTGTGCGTTTGCGCGCGCACTCTCAGTAGCAAAAATAATAGGTCACCTCTGATTCTGATTGGCTGACAGCTTCCACCAAATTTCCGCGATCAATCGGCACTAACAAATTTAGGACTCATCACGAATATGGGGTCTTTTTTCGCGGTGAAATATCTTGAAAACGAAGTTAAATCCATCCATCGAAACTTCAAAAATCGGTTCTCGAAAATTACTTGTGGAGACTTATCGGTAAAATGAATTAATGAGGTCCATTTTTTTTCTAGGCAAATCACAATCCTTGAGTAAATGAATATATACTCACGTAAGACTCTGCAACGTTGCTGTACAATCAAGCCCTTATGACTTTGATTTCCTCCAATATTCAAATGTGCATACCTAATGAACAAGCCGAGGGTATTTGGGCGATCACTTACAGTTACGCGTAAACGTCAAATGGGTTTGTTGAATTTCAGAGATCCTCGCTAAGAAATACCAGTGTTGTTATAAACGCTATCAATCATGACGTCACTATAGCGATTCTCGGTTGTATCGCTTGAGATCGGAGCAATAGCTATAGCATACCCTGTCTCAATGCCACTGTTTGTTGCAAATTGATAGACATGATTTTTGTGTGACGTAGCACTGGTAGCGATATAAAAAGATATGAGAAGAAGGAACGGGGGTAACGAAAACATGATCCTCTTAATTTTGATTGAGTTAGACCATTAAAATCATTTCCTAAATGAGAGTCCGTTTTGTCGATACTTTTCCCACGTTTTCATTTCGTATTACACGTGTTCGCCAATCAATATGTGTGTCCGCGCGTCAAGAGAGAAAAATATTTCATTAGCCCCCAGCTTGCGCCTGAATTCGTAGTAAAAAATGATAGGTAGTTCTATTACTATCGGTCTCTCGCTGAAAAGCTACAGTTTTTTTTATTTTTTATTTATTTATTTAATTTTTTTTTTATTTTTTTATTTTTTTTAAGAAACTATCTTTCTAAGAAAATCATTATGTACACTCAAGTTCGATACTTTTACTGCTAGGATACGTGCCAGAAGGAAAAAATTAAACAAATGTCAGAAAAGATAATCGTACAATATCATATGTAAATCAAGTTTTCAAAATGACAAGCCTTTTAGCATCTTTATACGACTCAATTTTTAAAAGTTAATGGTAGCGTGACTTGACTGCACACGCAAAAGATGAGCAATGGGTTCTACGGGTCATTTCAGCTGGTCTTCATGGCATCCTCAATTTTTGGAACTTTGCCATACAAATACAACGTGGTTGATGTGACAAATAATGTGCTGAGTATCGACCCTTCAAAGGTAAGCCGGTTATCGTCAAAATTTGAGTTCGTTAGTGATTTTTTCTCACCTTAAATTAATCATCTATTAATCTTAGTGTCTTTTTTAACAATGGATGTACTTCTCTTCTACATTTAATTTGTATAATGATAAGCAACTATATCATGTCGTTACTTACTCTATACCTTATTCATAATTTAAGTTAATTGTTTATATTTCTGTATCGGAAGCTAGCAATAAATCAATTCTTAAAAAAAAAAAAAAAAAAAAAAAAAAAAAAAAAAAAAAAAAAAATTGATTTTTTCTCTCTGATTGCTCGGTGTTTATTTTGGCCAGAGGTAGCGGTATTTGGAGAGGGAGTTTGGGAACTGAATCGGCACTGAAAGGTACCTAGTACTCATAAGGTAAAGCGTTTTGGATATTGCAGACGGAGAACAGCGCGACCCGCGATGCAATCTCTGTTGGACGGAGGTCTAATCAGCCAACTTTACTGGCTTTCTCAAAGCTCCGCGCACGCTTTGACCGTGCGTCGCCAGAGCGCGCTTCCATATATTATCTTTCACATTGCTTCTTTCAGGGAACCGCCGGCGACCCCGAATAGCGGGTTTGGACTTTTTTCAGGTTCGATCAGTCGGGCAAATTACTTCTAGACTTTTATCTGTCTATTTTGAAGAATAATTTAGGGGATTGTTGACTGCAGGCATTAATAAAGAGACTTTTCGCAGTGTATCGGACACGAATCTATCTGGTTGGGTAACTAGTTACTCAGTGCTTTAGTTGGAGACCCGTAGTTTCTGACGCTCGTCGAATTGTGACCCTCACATCGTAAGCGTTTGCGCCCGTGGGACACCCGGCTTACGCTATATACCATGAGACAATGCAGCTGCCGGTCGGGGGATAAACCGAGAACCCGGCAGCCGGTCGACCAATAGCGTTTAGAATCTCACCACGGTCTCCCCTAAATATGTATAATATACGCCCACCAATAGCACTGTCACATCCGTTTGGGACGCTACGACATACTGGTTAGATTTCTTGTTTTTATAATCAGATTATTCATATTTGATCTTAAGCGCAGTTTTCATCTGCTGAGC